GCAGTTCAGTGGGAGAATGGATATTAGCCAAATAAGTACAAAGTTGTGAACTGTGACATGCAGTGAAAGTACACTGAGCACACTTGATGGAAGAGTTGGACCTCGTAAGAGCCTGAAGTAGGTAGGCGAACCTGGGAAGCCATCCTGTGGAAATCACTTCTGGAGGACAAATAGGGGAAAGAAAGAGAGAGGATTGGGAAGTTTATAGAGCAGAAGAGTTGCATGTGCAAAGGCCGTGAGGTAACAAGCAGTGTAAGAGAATTAGAGGGATAGAAAGGAGACCAGCTTGGCCTGGAGCTAAGAGCCCAGGCCAGGGTCTCATGGCCATGTTGCCATATAGAGTTGATCTTAAGACCAAAATGAAGTGGGAATTTCCCCCTCATTCAGATGAGAGTTGACAGTCGCCTGTATTCTAGCGGTGAGAGATGCAGGCCATCCTACAGGAATTAAAAGGGAGTGTGACAGGGTTGGATGATGAACTGAGCATGGTGTGGGGGGGGCATGGGTGCTAATTATCATTCATTAAAGACAAAAAAACAGGCATTGCTGCCAAATGCTGTTCACCTTCCCGAGGTGACTGTGCTCTTCATCTGAGTTCTGAGTGAGGCATCCAGGGTTATTTGCTTCCTTGGACTGATCCTGGCCTCATTTTATGCCAGAATGTCTTATGGTATATTTTTTTAAAGTTGATTTAAATACATCAAGGGGATATTTTCGTGTCATTATGACTCAGGGTTTTTTTTTTTTCAAGCATTTAAAATCATTGACAACCCCATGGTTCATAAAATCAGTCCATCAAATTAATACAAATTGGTGTCTGTCTAGTTACTGAGGTGAATATTAAACTTCCCAGATGGCAGCCACTGTGCCTGCCCCTAGCTCTGGTCTGACATGGAGCAGTATCCCAGGCCCAGGCTCGAGGTCAGGTGTCCAGGGATTTGACAGGGCCTCCACCTCATGGGCTTCAGGCTGGTCTCAATTTCCTTCATCCTGTTTATTTTACAGGTCTTTAAATAGCACCTCAGACATCCAGTTTTAACCATCAGTCTATATACTCAGCTGAACACACACTTTTTTATGAAAAGTTGTGGACATAAGAGGTGCGCTGGAGGGATGTAAGTGAATATCCATGCACCCACTTCTTTGGTTTTGCAGTTAGCATTTTACTTGACCACATTTCCATCTGTGTCTATATCATCCCTCCTGTTTTTGAATAGATTTGCAGCTGTCAAAAGTTACCAAGATCAGTGCATTCTATCCCTTGCTGTATCAACGTGTATATCATTAACTGGAGTTTGATATTTATTTGGGAACTTTTAAAGTAGAAGCAAAACATGCTAATGTGCAAATCCTAAGGATTATCTCCCTTGAGTTTTGACAAGTGCATCTCACTCTGTACCCTAGGCCATCAAGACAGCAAACCCGATCCTCCGGAAGTTCGCTCAAGCCCTTCGCAGCCGGTCCCCACCCCACCCCATCCTCACCATCCACACCGGGAACCACTGCTCTGAGTTATTTAAGCATAGATTGGTTAGGGCTTCAATTCTTTCACTCATTTCATGTTTTTGAGATTCAGCTGTGTTGTGTTAGTAATCTGTATTGCCACTGTTTCTTTGCATCAACCTGCACCCAGGTCCCCAAGCTGTTTTTGTTAGAGGACCCCTGGGCAGGTCCCAGCTGTCGGCTGCTTTGAACATTCTTCTGTAAGTCTTTCTGTAGACCAAGCTCTTTTGTTTACCTTGGATAAACACTTAGGGCAAAACTCTTGGGTCATAAAGTAGGTGTACATTTAAATTGCTAAAAAACTTTTACAGAGTCTGTATACATTTATATTCCCTTCAACAACATGTGAGAGTTCCACGTGCCCTTCACACTTGACACAGTTTCTCTAGCAGTACACATTCTGGTGAGCATGGAGAGAACATGTAATTTTAATTGATTATTCTTTAAGAAGTGAATGATTGGGCTGGGGATTTAGCTCAGTGGCACTGCTGCCTACCTTGCAAGCGCAAGGACCCGAATTCGATCCCCAGTACCCCCCCAAAAAAATGAATGATCCCCAAATCATGTATATGGTTGTAAATACAAACAAATGCAGAGTCTGTAGCGCTTCTTAAGAGTTAAGCATGATCAGGTATTGTAAATCAAGTGTTTAGCACAAGGATAGCAAAATGTGTGGCAACCTACAGTGTTTTAAAAATTAAAGGCTTAAGATTATGATTTTTTTCCCACTAAAAACCCAGGTTGTAAGTTGCTAAGAACTTGCTGAGAAATCCAGTTTTGAGCTCTGCATAGGCTAACAACAGAATCAATGCTGCAGAAACCACCACACCAACAGGACAGTGTCACATGCCCAATCACCGCCACACACATCCTGAGCTTTTGAAAAGGAAAACAAACAAACAAACAAAAACATGGAACTACAGAGAGCAACTGTGATAAGCACAGTAAATTCTGATCTCTCTACCATGCCTGTGACAAAACCATTTGATAAGAAAAATTCTACCCCCAAATGTCAAGGGAAGTTCCAGCCTATCGATGGACGCCTTGTACTGATCAAGCAGCTAGTTCTTTAGACCCCAGTTTAACAAGCTAGGGCCTGTGGCAGCCCTGCCGGAGCCTCTCTGTAGAGAGCAGTGTGACAAAGAGCAGATGGTTTTAGACCTAGAGGGACTTGATCTTGGGCTCTACCGTGTGACATAGATGAGTTCTGTAGCCTGTCCCGACCTCAGTCTCCTTGTCCCCCCGAAGCAGTGGCACCCCTTCCTCCTCTGCAAGGCTACTTTGTAATGATTACATCGCCAGTGGCATGCACTCGGAAAACATGGCTGCCATGGCTGTTGTCACAGGGCAGTGCTCATCCCTGGGCCTGCCCTATGGTTCTCCAGCCCCAGAGCCTCCCACAGTGCTCGCCTCGGAGAACATCAAACTAGAACTGCTCGTCCCTGTTGTGCTCCCAGTGAGTTCTGCTAAGTGTTATGACAAAAATAATTTTGGTGGAATAATTGCTTTCTAGTCATAAATGACTGGTGGGTTTAGAGCTCCAGAAGAAAGTCTGAGAGAAATTTCTCATCCAAGTGCATCTTTAGTTGAAAACTGGGGTATTTGGGAGAGATGCAGAGATCCTCAGCCAGAGAGACTTGGCTTGAAAACCCAGTGCTGAGCTGGATATGGTGTCTCATGCCTGTAATTCCAGCACTCTGGAAGGCTAAGGCAGGAGGATCACAAGTTCGAGGCCAGCCTGGGCAACTTAGTGACTTAGCAAGACCTTGTCTCAAAATTTTCATAAAGGGCTGAGGATGTAACTCCACGCATAGGCTTTGGGTTCATTCTCCAGTACCAAATACAACAAGACAAAAGGCTGCTGGGATGTGACAGGCACTGCCTTTGGTGGAAGCCTCACAGAGTAAATCACTGTATAGGAGCCTGCAGGCAGAATCTGAGGGAGCCCCAAAGAATTGCTGGTAGTAAAGCAAAGAGTATCCTCACCCTGCTGTAGTCAGTGCGCACAGAGCCCATCAGAAGCTGTCAGCCAATGTGGGGGTTCGTGTTCAGCTCAAAAGTGCCAAATAAATGTCTTATGTGAGGAAAGGCTACAAAAACCATCCCAGCACCCAGCAGATGGAACTAATACCTGTGGTCCCCACTCCTCCCTGTTCTCTCTCTGCCCCTCAGATGACTGGAACTTGTCCCCACCCCAGAACAAGGGCCGTACACCTGCACACTTTGCTTCAGCTGCCCCTGCTGCAGGCAGCCCACGGAGACAGCTTGGGGCTGTGTTCAGCCAGCTATCCCCACAGGCCTGGGAGAGACAAGAAGAGGCTTTTTATTCCTGTGTAATGTGGGAAACTGTGGGCCTTTGCTCCTAAAGGAAGGGTGTATTTTCATTCAAAAGCAAGGCTAAGCACATAACAGATCACTTGCTGTAGAGCTTGAGCTGATTATAAAACAAAATAAAACTTTACTTCCTTGGATATAGTATAAAAATTCATACTGAGCTTCGTTGCTTTGTAGCAAAAAGTGCCAGAAATTCCCGAGTCAGTAACCCTTAGAGCCATTCGAACCGAGGCATCACGGACGGTGGGTAGTGCAACTTTGTGTAATCGTGTGAAAGGGACTGTGCAGAAGAGTGCGCAGAAAACTTCGCTTTAGCACTTCTGTTCTCCGTGACTCTTTCTGTGGTTCTACCAAGCTGAAACATCTTGCCTAGGTCTGAGACTCGTGAGGTTTCTGCTCATTCCCGACAGTGTGGCTGTGTTCACTGGTGGTTCCGCACTTGCCTGTCTCGATTTCCACGTGAATCCCGCTTTTTCACTGAGTGGCCGCTGTGGTTTTATGATCTGGGCCCTGGACCTAAGGAAGCTGATGGATTGGATCGGAAGCATCACGATCCTAAGTGGGCTAGAACAAAATAAGAATTTCAGAACCCCAGGAAAACATTGCTTTTTATTGATGACTTCATTTTGTGCGCTGGTAAAAAGTCATTAACACACACTCACACACACACACACATCTGCTAATGAGAAAGAACTAGGTGCAAAACAGCATCTTAAGTTCAGATCTCATTGTGAACAACATTGTATAAATTGACTGTAATACAGGAGCCCTTAAATAACTTTTAAAGAAGGTTTTAAAAATTGAATTTATGCTATTTGACAACAAAATTTTATGTCTAAAACAAACATACTATAGATCAGCCTGACACAATTTTCAATTTCGTTATAGCTTTTGTCTTCTGCTTTCTGCAGGAGAAGTAGACGTACTGCTTAGAAAGTGTGTCCGTTGGGTACTTCCCGCTTTTAGGCTCAGCAGCTTGGAGCATCTGAAAGAAATAGAGCATTTTCATCCTATCACTGCTATTCGTATCTCATCTGCTTTGCTTTCGGTGTAACTTCTTGCTTTCTTGAAGTCCTCAGAGCTTTTTAACTTGTTTGAGAAATTTAGCAAATGTCACATTTAAAATCTCTTTCTCTTCTTTCACCAACTCTGAAAAACTTTAGATGCACAAGATTCATCGTGATTCTGGAGACATTTCTCAGACAGGTAAGAATGCTTCTATTTACCTCTAATAGGCAGAGGGATTGGTTTGGGTTCAAATCTCCCAATGGTTCTGAAGGAGTTTAGGCTAAAGTTCACCACCCCAGTACCTAGATTGCCAAGATCCAAGTGCTAATATCAGAAGGTCAGAGGACCACAGAAAAAGCAGAAATCCCTAAAACATTCCTTACATCCATGACAACCTTATTTGTTGAATGCCTCCCCCATCTTCATTTCTTTTCTTGTCTGGAGATCAGGCAGAGCAGGTAAACCCAAAATAGAGTGGCCCAAAATCTAAGGGAGATACTGGTTGGCTGGACCATGGGTGAGAATATGGTGGTAGTTCAGCCATATTGAGTCTTTCTGGGAGGCAGGACACTGAGTTCCAGCTCAGTTCCCACCACTCATCTCAGACCTTGGGCAAGATTCCTTCTGACCCTTGGTTTCCTCCTCTATAAAATGAAGGGTTGGATAATATGACTTCAGCATGTGGGAAGCCCAGGAATTACCTGAATACTACAGGACAGAAATTGATCTACTGCTAAAGATTTACTATTCTCCTTATAAGGATTGCAACCATTCTGTGCCCTCTTGCTGCCTGAAGTCAAACCCTGGGCTAATTATGTAGTCCCTCTCCTTGGTTCTAGAATGACCATACTTAGTCTACTCAGAAAGAGTTCATTCACTCTTTCTGGCCTTCATTGTCTTCATTTTTAGAATGAGTTGGCAGTGCTCATTTCATTGTTAATGAGGACTAAAGAAGACACTGTAGGTAATATCTAGCAGTAGCTGGCATTTGCCAATGTGGTATCTTCCTTCACTTGTTCTGAAAACGTGCTGAGTCAGAACAACCTCAAGTGACACATCTGCTCTCCTGCAGATGTTTTAGTTTCTTAAATACTTAGAATGAGGGTATTACTTAGAAAACTTGTAAGCTTATACCAAAAAGTGTAATGAGCCTTTCATATCCTTTACAGCACCCAGCATCATCTGTGTGTGACAGATTCTCAATAAGTACAGAGCACTAAGCATTGACACTTCCATTTTGGGAAGAAACAGTTCCACCATGTTTTAGCTCTTGGAGTTTGGGCTACCTACCTAATCTCTCCAAGGGTAGATTCCTTATCAGTAAAATGTAGGCAGTGCTTTGTAGCTTTCAGAACTATTGTCATTATTACATAAGATGATTATTACATTTAAAGCACATAGGTTAAAAAAAAAAAAGCTAGAAAGTAGGATTGGGCTGGGGGATTTAGTTCAGTGGTGCCACCACCTGCCTCGCAAGCACAAGGACCCAAGTTCAATCCCCGGTACCAAAGAAAAAGAAGCTAAAGCACATAGGTATACGGAAAATTACTGCACTGTGGTTCAGGCCCAGGGCAATGTGTGATTTTTGGTGGACATTACGTCCACATCTGCAAGATTTGGGGGCAGGTGCATCTCATCAGCCTCAGCGTAAATAACAAATGTATTGGAAGCCAAAGCTGGCTCACTGCCACCAGTTGTGTTAGATCCCTATGTCTGTACAGCCAGACTGCTGTGAGGACCAGGGTCCGAGTGGCTGAGGACTGCAGAAAAATGTACAGTGGCTGAGCTGAGTGCTGAGGATGATGACATGGGCAGAGGTTTCCAGGGCTCTGCTTCTCCTTCAAGCTGCTCTAGTCTCAAGCGACCCTGCCCAGTCTTCCCCAGTCTAAACTGCTGACAAGACAGCAGCACAATGCCCAGCACATAATAGGTGCCCAGGAAGTGGTAGCTGTATTTTTTATTGGTGACACATTATCCTTTTTTTTTATATACTAAATGCAGCTATTTAAATCTCCTTCTTTTTCTGATTTTTAAATTTTTAATTCATTCTACAGGCATCTGTTAAGAATGAATAATGAATTCTTTGATTTAAATGTCCTTGCTGTATCCTTTATTGAAGGATACTTTCTCCAAACTTTCAGTCATTTCAACTGCTCTGTGTTCTCTTAATTCTGAGATAAAATCAGGAAGAATAAGTATTAGCTGTCTTTGAATAAATTCCAGTGAATGATTTAGAATTTAATCAACCAGCCCGGATCACAGCCTTGAAACTAAATTCTCTACTTTCAGTTTTATTTAGGACCTACATTTTGAAAAATTTTTGATCTTTATTATAAGTCCCTGCATAGGCTAAAAGCAAGTGTCTTATGGGAACCAAATCAATTTTTCAGATTTTGAAAGCTACCATATAAGCCTGATGATATCCCTTCAATCTCTGCTCTCTCTAAAGGCCTTTATAAAGAAATATGGAAACTTGTATCCAGGGATAGGAAAATTAAGGTAGCATCCAGAAGATGAATATTAGGCAGAGGAATAAGTCCCTGCATAGGCTAAAAGCAAGTGTCTTATGGGAACCAAATCAATTTTTCAGATTTTGAAAGCTACCATATAAGCCTGATGATATCCCTTCAATCTCTGCTCTCTCTAAAGGCCTTTATAAAGAAATATGGAAACTTGTATCCAGGGATAGGAAAATTAAGGTAGCATCCAGAAGATGAATATTAGGCAGAGGAATAATAAATAGTTTGATATTAAGACAAGGCTATGTGTCTATAGTGTTCAAATTAATTTTATTATCCTTTACTTCCTGCTATATAAATATAATTCAGGTTTGGTTATTGGCCTGTATTTTGTTGTTCTTGTTGTTGAACCAGCCTTCTTAAGATACTAGCAGGGTTTTAAAAAGTGATGAGAAGGGTGTCTAAGCCTATGAAGTGGAAATGCAAAGAGTGAAACCATACGGTAGCATCCAGTGTGCGTGTAAGGAGACGCACATGCATGGGCCCAGAGGTGCTCAGTCTGCCACAGGTGCCATACAGATGTGATCAGGCTGAGTGGCACTGTGCACACTACGTGCTTACAGGTGGCACACACTGTTCTGAAGGCGCTACATGGATTGACTCATTCACTTCTCACAGTGGACCATGAACGAGAGAGACGCTGGTAACTATGCCTATTTTACAGACACGGAGGCAGACACGGAGAAGTGAAGTAACATTCCCAAGGTCGCACAGGCAGCCTCTAGGTGGCACGGTGGAGATTTGAATTTTGATGGTTTGGTTCTGAGCTGGTTTTCTTAACCACCAGACTAGAAGCAACACTGCGTCTTTCTTTCCTCCATGGAATGTGATCTGAGACATGCCTTTCCCTGCTTTGCTGGAACTGGCCTGTCTGCCCACTCTCTCTGTGTGTTGTGTTTCTCTCTTTGGTTATGAGTTACCCACCAGGGGCGAGGGCCCTGGAAATACATGTTCTGAAAGCCAACTCTGCTGCCTTGAAAGTTTTTATACCTTGGTGCTCAGTAGTCACATACATTTTTGTAGTCTTAAGTTCAAAGTCTTCAATTTCTTTCTTTTTTTTTTTTTGGTACTGGGAATTGTACTCAGGCCCTTGCATTTGCAAGGCCGGTGGCAGAACCACTGAGCCAAATCTCCAGCCCCAAAGTCTCCAAATATTTATGCAGCATTTTAAAATGCTTTTTTCCCTCAGAAAATAAGGATGAGGGTGAGAGCTTAGCCTGTGGAAATTGCTGGTGATATAAAACTGCTTCTCTCTCTCTGTGCCCTGTAGGACATAGGCATTGTTTGATGAAATGCATCCTTAGGGAACCTCTAAAGACCATCTAGAGTCTGACTTTTCAGAGCTGTCCCAAACTAGTCTGAATTAGTTTGTCAAATAATGCAATATCTTTGAGTTTAACTGGTATTTTGCTTCCTCAAATATTCCTATGAGTCTTCCCCGTCCAGTTGAATATGTTTTTCATGTTAAATGGACCCCCACAAATTTTAGTGTTTATTTTCACAATGACGTGTGACCTCTGGAACTATTCCTGTGATGCAGTATGGCACCAAAAATACAAAAAGGCACCATTTTCCTATGAATACAACTGTAATTCTGTGTCTTAATGATTTGAAGAGAAAAGGGCTTAGTATTTCTTAAAATTATTTTCTAGTCCTTAAGAAATAACCTTATTTTCTTCAAAGAATAAGGAAAAAGTGTGTAAACTTTGCCCACAAATATGCTGCCAGCTAACTCCCAGCCCTGTTTCTGATCTGAAACCCAGAGCTTCACTCTGCCCGGCACAAGAACAGGAGGAAAGAGTCCATTGATGTGAAGTCCATTTCATCCCGAGGCAGTGACGGTGAGATGTGCTTCTGATTTCATTGACCCTTTGAATATGTAGAAAATGACACAGGAATTTGTTCAAGACTCTGTCAACATATAAACCCCAAGAAGAAAGTTTTCGATTACCTCCTCCCCAATAAAGTGAGTTTTTAATTTAAAAAAAAAAAAAAGTTCTGTGCCTTCTACAGTCTTTGTCTTCTCTTTGAAGGGACCCCAGGCCTGAGCTATGTCGGACTCTGTAGCTGCCCAAGCGATCAGTCTCAGGCTAGCCAAGCTCAGTGCTGGTTGTCCTGTGTCCCCACACCAGCACATGGCCATTTGTCACTGCACCTGCTACACGCACTTAGTTCCTGTAATGAAATGTCATAAAAACTGCAAGTCAGAATTTAGCAAAACGTTTTAGCTCTGCAACGCAGAATTTAGCAAAACATGACTTGAATTCCGTGAATCGGGCCTAAGTAACCAGTCAGATTTGTGGAGAATTGTGAAAGTTGAAGGCAGTTCTGAAATGTTACTCCTTTGTGCCTGGGAAATTGTAAGTAATATTTACAGAAATAAGAGTCTCCTGGGATGGCTGGGATGAGTTTTATTTTATTGGCGATGCCTAGGAAGCTGAAATGCAGGCCTGGGACTCGGGTGGGAGATGTGGGCTTGGGGATCTGGGTATAAAGGAAGCCTGGGACAGAGGACAACACCCTCACCTGACAGTGCCCCAAGGAGGATGCAGAGGAAACAGGGACATTGCAGAGGACAGAGGGCAGAGCCAGGTGAGTGGAGTCCCATGAACTGACAGCAAGAGGTATCAGGAGAAAGGGAGCCCAAGAGCTGAGAAGGCCTGCTGGATTTCACTTGTTCATTTGGGACTCTGTTTGTTTCATTTTTGCAGTGCTGGAGTAGAACTCAGGGCCTTGCCTGTGTTAGGCAAGAGCTCTCACCCCAGCTCGTATTGGTTTACATTCAGCAACTGGCAGGCCAGGCTGTAAGGGCACAAGGAGGGAACAGTTAGTGTCTGTGACAGCAAGGAGGTGCAGGGTGGTGACTTAAAGGCATGAACAAGACGGCCAAGTGGAGGACTTCCCAGCCTTCCAGTCACAGCAGGAAGCCTGAGAATGAGGGAAGGAGCTGTAATTGCAAGGACAGGGATGCCAGAGACAAGTTGGGCAGCTCAGAAAGTGAGATGGGTGAGCTGGTGGGGCCAGAGTGTGAGAGGAAACTGTGGGTGGTATGTGGGCAGGGCCAGGACAGTACAGATGGAAAGCAAAGTGCATGCGGCTGTTTGAACCTGGCCAGCCCAGTTTGGAGGGTCGGCTTGAGCTGGGTCCCAGTGAAGGGCAGTGCGCAGGGCAGGCTGTAGTAGCAGAGGCCGTGCTGCCAGGAGAGGCCACTCCGCTGCTGTCTCTAAGATGTGGCTGCCACTCTTCCTGCCTATCCAGAGGGTGAGAAGGTGAGAACAGTGCTTTTCAATAAAAGCCTCTACCTTTTCCATTTTAAATCATGCATAAGGATTATCTTGTCAAAAATGTAGTTATTTTTAAAGTGAAAGTTTCTGCAGATTAGAGCTAAAACCACTGTGGATTCTGGTGTTACAGCCTAGAGGCTCGGGAAGAAGGTGACACCACCCCAGTTCCCACAGAGTGGCTCCACCTTCTTCCCCACACTGTGACCATGAACTTCGCCTTCCTGCCACACTGCTTAGTAAACTTGTCCCACGTGCCAGCTTAGGAATGAAAGGGATGGAAATATCCTGTAGGATTTAGGGACCTGTGGGAAGGGGAGGCCCAGGGTCCTGTCAGCCTCTGAAATTCCCAGTCTTCTGGTCACCAAATTCCCAGGCCAGACCATCTTTCCACACTTGGGGAGGTTGGAATAAAAGGCAGGTGAATTCCTTGGGTTTCTTTCTTTTGTTTTTTTTTGTTTTGTTCTTTTTGAGGGGACATGTTAGTCCTGGGACAATCCTGTCCCCAGGTCCCACTGAGCCACCAGAATGGGGCACATCTTTTTTGCCTTCTCTCCAGCTCCGAGCCTGCAGAACCGTCGCTACCCATCCATGGCGAGGATCCATTCCATGACCATTGAGGCGCCCATCACAAAGGTGAGTGGCTGCTGTCACCTCACTCTGCAGTCAGGGCCCTGAGCTCTGGGTTAGAGATGAGTCTGTTGACATCTGGAGCCCACAAGCTAGTGGGAGAAACGACTCTTAAAAATAAAGGCACAACACGTAAATGTGTAGTTACAAAGGATAGCAAGTGCTGGGAAGTGAAACCACCTGGCTCTGTGAGAGAAAGATGGGAGGGTGCCAGGCTCAGGGAAGGCTGCTCTGTGGAGAAAGGGTTTGAAGAAGACTTGATGCATGAAAGTCCTGCGGGGATGGGGGTAGGGGGTCAGAGATAGCAAGGAAAAAGTGCAGAAGTGTTTCCCAGATGCCTGGAAGGAAATCAGGGAGCTGGAGCTGCAGCGAGCTTAGAAGGTGGAGATGGGGCTGCTGGCTCAGGATGCTGTGTCCGCCAGTCTGTAATGGGACCCTGATGGTTTGCATGCAACAGAAGGCACACAGGAGTTTACCGCAGGGTGGAAGTGCTCAGGTGCAACTGGCAAGAATGCCCAGTGGCCATGCAGCAGGCAGCAAAAGAGAAATGAACAGGCTGGTTTGGGGCTTTTCTCCAATTCCTGGCAAGAATCTGTGTCAGCTGAGCCTAGAATCGAGGCCATGGGAGTGGAGAAAAATGAATGGATAAAAAAATCTTAGGGCCAACATCAGCTGGATTCGGTGGGGTGATCAGGGTGGAGAGAGGACAGTGAGTAGGCTCCGTGCCAGGCAGGGCCTCTGGGATTCTGGTTGGAGCATGAGGCAGGTGGAGTGCTCTCCACAGAGGGTAGGGGCCGAAGGAGAAAGCCTTTGTCTTTGATTTTTAAAAACTGTTTATCTGCTTGCTTGGAGGGAAGAGGAACAAGAACTGAGAGTTTAGTTTCAGACATGTAGGATGTGGCAGTAGCTATATCAGGCAAGCAGTTGAATCTGCAGATCTGCAAGCTGGGGACCAGGGCACGGGCTGGAGAGTCTTGACATGGGAATCAAAGGCCATTTCTGAAGGGCTGTGGAGTGAAAGAGGCTGAACTGACCTCTGACCCCCCAGGAGAAATCAGAGACGTGGTCCTGAGGGGAGGACATGGGACTGCAGGGGTGCATAGCATGCTCCAGCAGGGGATGCACCCTGGATAATATGATGTTGTCACTGGCTCTCTAGACACCAGGCATGCATCAGTCTTTGGGAAGGAGCAGTCTGCTGCCTTCGACTTTGTTCTTTCTCTCTTCCTTAGGTTATAAATATAATCAATGCAGCCCAAGAAAACAGCCCAGTCACAGTAGCAGAAGCCTTGGACAGAGTTCTGGAAATTCTGCGGACCACGGAGCTCTACTCTCCTCAGCTGGGAACCAAAGACGAAGACCCGCACACCAGTGACCTGGTTGGAGGCCTGATGACCGTGAGTGCAGAATGGCAGGGGACCTCATTCAGGGCAACTAGAGTCCTCCTAACCTGCCCACACTTACCCACAGCTTCAGAGGTACTGCTGTATAGGCAAATAGCAGTACTGATAAACAGACGCAGCTGCCTCAGTTGCTGTGTTCTGTGGATGGCAGCTAAGGATGCAGGATGGGGCTATGTCCTGCTTCCCCTCATTCTGGATGATAGCACTAGGCCAAGGGTCACCGCTGTATTTCCCGGGGTGTTCCCAGGTTCCTCATCTGTGGATTCAACCAACCACAGATTGAAAACACTAAAAAAACCTGCATCTGTACTGAACATGTACAGACTTTTTCTGTTGTCATTGTCTAAACAACACAGCAACCATTTACATAGCATTTAAACTGGATCTGGCATTATAAGTAACTCAGTAGGATTTAGAGCACACAGGAGGATGTGCATTGGTCATGGCTACACAGGAGCTGGTCACCCTCAGATTGTAGCATCCAGGGGCAGCCCTGGAGTAAATCCCCGGGAGACTTGGGAACAAGTGTGTAATGAAAGGGTCTGTGCTTAGACAACAGCAGCTTCCAAAATCTTAGCTCCAGAATCTTGTCTTTAAATCTATAGTCAGATCACACAGAGTGGACTCATCCTGGATCCATTGGAGGAGGGAGGAAGGACCACCCACTCCGGTACTCCAGGGAGCACCCTGGCCACCTAGAGACTCAGCCTGCTCTCATGTTTTGCTGAGGTCTGTTTGGCTTTAGTCAGCATCTGTCAGCAAGGGAAGAAAGGGGAAATTCTTTTGCATTATTCATGTGGGCTCCTCGGCAGAAGCTGAAACTGGAAGAATTCTTTAGAAGAGTGCAGAATGGAGGAGAGGAACAAGCCCAAGAGTTATCGCTAGGAGTTTTACTTTGACAGTTTCCATCCAGCCCTGCCTCAAAGGCTGAGAGCTGCTGGCTTCCCCGTCTTTTCTGTCCCTTCCTTACCCTTGGGCTGGCTTTAGTTGCCCATGCCAATGTGGTATAGACTTCAGCCTCAAGAGAGGACTGGGAAGGGGCTAACATGGAGATGGACACCACCCACTGCCACCAGCAAATGTGGTCTGGGGACAAGCTGTCTGCCTCCCTCTAAGCCACCGTTATCTTCTTGAATTTCCTGTCTGGATAATGCTGGGAGGACCCAACTCCAGCTTCCATCTCGTTCTTTTTTGGCTTTGAGAAGTGGAGGGAGAAAGGCAAGGAAGAAAACAGGGGCATTCTCGTGCTTGCCTTAGAAGCAGGACAGCTGTGGCTGTGGCTACTAATCTACTTATTTCTTTTTAAAGACTAAACTCTTGGCATAAAGATGTGAGACTTCAGGGGAGTCTTTCGCTGATTGATACCACTTTAAACCTTTGTGACATTTCAACAAAGACCTCCATAATGAGGTCACGGATAGAAGAAGCAAGGAAACAGACTCAAGAACATTTGTAAACTGTTTCAAGTCCAAGAGCCAGGAGACAGAATGGGAGAATTCTGTGCACTCATCCCTGACCTCTCCAGAGCCCTCAAATCTAAGAACTTTTCTTTTAAAAGTTAGCAGCAATGCTCATGCTTCAAAACAAACAAGCAACCCAAACAAAGTAGTGAGAAAAAATTAATTTAGATGTGAGTGAAGAATGAGCCCCACATTTTAAAGACTTTACATTAGTGTCCTCCAAATGTGGTCCACGACTTTGACTCCTCAGAATGTCAATCTGAGAACATCACAGGGTCCCTAAGGAAGCACCTCAGATGCATCAGAATTATACGGATGCGATGCAAGATGCTTCTGTGATTTCACTCACATGGCTTCAAAATGCCAGAAGAGAGAGAAGTCATGAAAACCAAGCCAACATAGATGAGAGACCTGAGCCCAGTCACATTCCCCATGTCCCCACTTCTCCACCTCCAGGACCAGCAGCCATGGGAGCGGGTGCAGCCCTTGCCTTACAGCTGCTGCACATATTTAATGTTGAGCTCAGTCTCTCAGCTTGGTGTGGCAGGGATCGGGTGTTCAGGGTTCCAATCTCTGGCTAACAAGGAAGATGAGTGCAGGAGGATGCGATATACACCATGCTTCTAACCACGTCTCTTTTTGTTCCAGGATGGCTTGAGAAGGTTGTCAGGAAACGAGTATGTCTTCACAAAGAGTGAGTGTTTATCTGTCTCCCATTACTGATAGCCTGTCTCTATCCCAGACCATCCCTGGTGTGGTGATTATTGCTCTAGGAAGGCCTTGGTGTTATTTCTAGTTGATTGCATTCACCTATGTGTAGCTCTATAGTCGTCTGTATTTGAAACTAGAGCTCCTGATTTAAATTACTTCCCTGAGTGCTGTTAGAATAAGCCTTATAAATCTCTACATTTAAACACACACCTAAGCTGAACTGTTTTTCTCTTTGGGGATCTAGAGGTAAGAGAAGACCTTTGACATGAAAATCTTTCTTCCTGTGGAAACTTTAGACTTGTTTACTGAGCGTCACCATCATAATGATGACAGGTACTCAGGGACACCAAGACCCCACAGTTAACCAGCCTCCCACCCCGTGTGTTTGTGTAGACGTGCACCAGAGTCACAGTCACCTCGCAATGCCTGTCACCATCAACGATGTCCCCCCATGTATTGCCCAGCTGCTTGATAATGAGGAAAGCTGGGACTTCAACATCTTTGAGTTGGAAGCAGTCACACATAAAAGGTACGTGATGTTGTGGCTGCAGACTAGGGGATGGAGACTAGTGGCTACATTCAAGGCCTTCCCGTCTGGAGACTGAGGGAGACGTGTGTCCTGCATGTGCTCCTCAATGGAGAGGGAGTATGCATGGGTAAGGACTGCGGGGCAGCCGGATGTCCTCACATCTGCCCAGCTCACTCCTTCATGCTTGTGAGGTGGGAGTGCTATGTTTGCTCATCCCGGACTCACTGAAGCGCCATCCTACAAAATAAACCTGAAGCAGGGTACACTGGCCCCACTTGTAGTCCCAGCTACTTGAAAGACTAAGGCAAAAGGGTCGCTTAAGCCCACCCGTGCAACAAGCAAGACCCTGTCCAAATTTTTAAAAAGAAAAGAAAAGGAGAATTGGAGAGCACAGTAGCTTCTTGACTTTTTTGCAGGTGGAAGGTTAGAGAGCCAGAGGATCTCTTATGCTCCAGGAGGACTGAATGCTCTGTGTGGGATTAACTCTCCCTGTCAGTACGAAGCATGACTCTAAATGCTGTGATTTTGCTGAGACCACACACACTGTTCCTTGTGTCCTCCGGTGCAGGTGGTGAGAAGCAGGCTCAGAGCCTATGTGGAGTGGAGGGAGAGAGGCACTGCCATGGACCTTTCTTGATTGTCAGAGCCACCAGGGTCTGTGACTTACAAATAATCCGGAAATACAGTGGACCTCAAGTTAACGACTGGCCTGACATACAAACAACTTGGGTTAATTAGGTTAATGGAAGATTCATCTGCCTCTTGTTATCTATAGCATGTACCCAGGTAAACATCCAGATCTCAGCTGTATTGATTTACAACCAACTTGAATTACAAGCAGCCCTAAGGAACCAATCAAGTTCATAAGTCAAAGATCCACTGTAATGTGGCCCTCCTTCCAAGAGGTCACTGGGGAGAAGGAAAAGGTCATGCTACTCCTTATTGATATGAGGAAGAGGTGTTTTTATGCCTTGTGCAGGTGGAATAATCAGGAAATTTCCTCCATTCCCCAATGTCATTCAAGAAGAGAGTTTCTGGGCCTGTGAATTCAATAAGCCTGAGCTGGTTTTCCTCTTTTGCAGGCCATTGGTTTACTTGGGCTTAAAGGTCTTCTCCAGGTTTGGAGTATGTGAATTTTTAAACTGTTCTGAAACCACTCTTCGGGCCTGGCTCCAAGTGATTGAAGCCAACTACCACTCCTCCAATGCCTACCACAACTCCACCCATGCTGCAGATGTCCTACATGCCACGGCTTTCTTCCTCGGAAAGGAAAGAGTCAAGGTGGGGTTTCGGTACCATGATCTAGCAGCCTGACTGCAGTGGAGATCCAGGAACTCAGTGTTATTAAGTACATTAGGCCAACAGCTATTTTGCATCTAATTTAACAGTAGTTCTTTGGCTACCAAATCAGTCATTTCAGTGTTATAAAGACATGATCTTTTCTTCGCTTCCTCAAATGCTCAAAATATTAATTTATGCCACCATAGTCTCCTTTAAATGCATGGCTGACCCATGAGCCCAGCTCCAAATCTTTGCCAGGAGCTTTATGAAATTGGATTTTATGGCAGACCTTAGCCCATTCATGCTAAAGATTGCAATTTAAAATTTTTTTGCATGAAATTCATATATGTTGCCTAGAAAACTTCAAGGAACAAGAATTTGAAGAGAACAATTTTTATTATGTTCTTTTGTTATGGGTGTTCCAAAGTGAATCATTAGGCATTTAAGGATTAATTATTCTAGCACATGGTTACTAGGTCTCAAAGTTAAGTTTCAGTAGCAGAATTTGTCCACTGGTGGGTTGCAATCCTGATAATAATGAGCTGCTCTGTGTCCTACTGATTGACATATATGATGTGGGTGCTTCTTGTGGACATGAGCGTGTATGTTTGTGCCAGTGACCTTTATCTGACTGTGAGAGTCCCACATACCTGCTCTTATGCAGAGCAGCCCCAAACCCGTGGAAAGCTGGCAGGAAATTGCATCACCCTTCCTTTTCAAGTACTGTCACTTACACAAGAATCTTGGTGGTCCTTTGCCACAAAAAGTAAAGCTTAAACTTTAGGTACTCTTGGGGAATGTGCCATAGAGAGACCAAACTGGCATTAATCTGAATGCCTAACATTAGATTGTTTCCTGTGAGCCAGGTGTGGAGGTGCACACCTGTAATCCCAGCACTCTAGAAGGCTGGCAATCACAAATTCAAACCCACCCTGAGCAATTAGCAAGACCCTGTCTCGAGATAGAAAATAAAAAGTAGGCAGGGTACACAACTCAGCGTGAAAGCTGGATTCAAACCTCAGTACCAGAGGGGAGAGTTTTCTTGACAGGTGGTGGCGGTGAGGATTTAAGGAGAGGAGAGTGGGATAGCAGAAGGCACAGAAATGGCACCAAAACTAGAGAGAAACCTGATTCTGCTCAGTTTGCCAAAGACTTGCCCAGATGCTCACTTTCATCCACAAGAAAGCAGAGTATGTGGTCCACGAATGGTACTTTTGGAGATTTTTGTCTTTTACCTTAAAAAAACAAAAGTAACCATGACATCCACCTGTATCTGTGGGGCCTTTCTTGAGGAGCCACAGCCCCTCTTCCCCCTTGCCGTGGTGCAGGAGATGTCACACAGCTGGGGTTGCACTGCCACCTGGGAACAGCACCGAGGTCATTAGCACCAAGACCAGAGATCCCCTGTGCAGTTTTGAGAGTGAGCCTGGCCTGCTCCTATGCAGAGAAACACAGGTGGGACTTGCCCTGGACTAGGGAATGTGTCGTCCCTTCCTGCTCTCCCTACCTCACCCCTCCATAGGTTTCCTTTAAATGGTGCCTTCTGCTGCTGCACTCTCAAGTCTCGCTGAATTGCTCAAGCACAGCCCTAGAAGCAGGTTAAGACTAAATATAAAATATTCACAATTCCCAGCCCCCACGAGGGGCTTGGAAGACAGAGAGCTGCAGAGAATCTTGGGCATAGTGCTGGTGGGCTCCTCCTCAGGAAGTCAGGCCTGCAGTGGCTTTAACTCTTTTGTGTGTGTGCTAGATTTGGAACCCAGGGCCTTAAGTACACACTCCATTCCCAGCCCTAAGGTGCTGATTCTCAAAGTCACTCTTGTACCACCTCCCCAGCCCAGCTGCAGAAACTGCACCCAGACGGGCCTTTTGGTGCATTACAGGCCTCGTCCTCTGGCTCTCCCTCCACATTCCCAGGACCCACTGAGGGTGGAGTGGCCAGAGAGTCAGCCTTTCTTCTCGTTCCCTGGGCCTAAGTGACTCTTGTGGGACAGGCTGAACCAGAATGTAGCCCACACTGGCCAGCCTCCCTTGGCGTGATCCAGATCTCCTGGCTAAAGAAGAGGAAAACTACACATGGATATCTGTATTCCTAGGGATTAAAGTTCTGCCAGCACAAATCTGGGGTTTCTTGCAGACAGCCACCCATCAACACACACACACACACACACACACACACACACACACACACACAGAGCTGGCTCCTCTTCTCACCTTGCTGGTGAGTTTGCCAATCTTCTTCCACCTCCCAGCCTTTTCTTTTCACTGCAGGACATGCCCATTATTGGCACCTTTGTGCAAGTGCTGTTGTCAGAGTTTGGGTTAAATTGGGGTAAGATGGAAGGAAAGGCAGTTCCCATGTGGTACCCTTGTATTTTCTACCCCTTTCCTGAATCTGCCTCACTGAATTATTTTAAAGTAAATGGGCCTGAGACTCCTAGCAGCATGGGGCAGACTAGGGAGCACTAGCTGGAAGCCTGGGTCAGGAAGAGCCATGGAAGGCGGTACCTGAGTAGGAGCAGCTCTGGGTCCTGAGCTGTGAGGGGGGACTGCCCTGCTGGCCAGCGCTGGCCACTGCAGCAGAGCAGCTGGAATTGCACCTCCTGTGCTCTGGAAATCTGGTCATGTGCACTGGAAGCCAAAGCAGGGTTGTTCCCCAGGCCCAGGGCCAGGATTCCAACTGGAACTGGCTTCCTTCTCAGGGGACAGAGCTTTCAGACAAGCCCACTGCACCCTAAACTGACCCAGGCACTGCAGCAAGCGTTAGTGGAGGTGGCCCAGTAAGGGCTGAGCTTCACATTCAGCATCTTCACCAGAGAATTAGCTCTGCCTCCCACAAGTCTGTGCAGGAAAGGGGGGACACCCAGGCATACACCCACCCTCCAGCCTCATCCCGGGAACCCTGTCCCCTTGCTCCCAGCCCCTGCCATAGGGGTGCTCTCTGGCTCTCAGTAAGCCCTTGGCAGTGTGTGGCTGTCCATGGGAGCTTTGCTGAGGCCCTTTCTTCTGTGCCCTCCCAACATGGCCTAAGACCAGCTTCTCTGTGAGTTCACTCATTGCCTTCCAGAAGGTTTCCCTGGCCAGTCTGGTTTTGTGGTGTCCAGTTTGGTGGTCATTAGCCACACATGACTTCTAATATTAAATAAAATCAGAAATTTAGTTCTTTCATTGCCCCTGCCACATTTCAAATGTCCAGTAGCTACCATGGTAGCATAAATAACGTTTCTGTCATCATAGCTTTGGGCACTGTTGCCCTAAACAAGACCGGGGCCCATGCTTATATTCTTGAAACTGTTGTACTTTTCTTTTTAACACTTCTCACCATGTTTTAAAATTTATTTGCTTTTCCCTCTAGAGTATAAGCTCTATGAGTTGAGAGATTGTGTCCATATGAGTCATTGCAGGCATTATGTGTAGTAACTAGCATTCAGTTGACACTTAGTAAATAATTACTGGACAGATAGATTCACAGTATAGTGTGTCTTATATGACAGTATCCCACTGATAACCGCAAGCTGAGAGCACTTGTATCCCCCCCCCCATGGTCACGTTTGTATTCATTTGCATAATGAAAGCATTAGAGAGTTGCCCTTTTTGCCTTTGATGCCTGCTAGGCTAGCACTTATTTTGTTCATGGCTTCCCGAGCCCCCTTAGCCTTGAGTTTTCTGGTAAAATTATTCTCTCCCTTAATCGTCTTTTACTGCTGACACTATTCATTCTTCCATCGCGTGGCTAATGCTGTTATATCTGTGCTATTTACTATCAGCATTTTTTAGGGCTTTTCAGAAGTGGGCAAAAAAGTAAGAGTCACAGCAGTATCACGCAGCAGGCAATTCGAAAGACATTTGGCTTCTCTTAGTCACTTTCCTGTTGCTGGACACAGTGTCCCCATCCCCAATTTTGAAGAATGGGTTTATTTTGGCTGCATGGCAGAAACGGGATGGCAGAGGGGCAGAGATGGGGAAAGATGCTTTTTTCATGGCAGCCAGGAAGCAGAGAGAGAAGGAAAGAGCCAGGGACAAGAATACACCCTTCCAGGTCTCACCCCATTCACCACCTCCTGCCAGGCCTCACTCCCAGCAGCACATCCAACTACAGAACTGCTCAGTGGGTGAATCCACCGGTGAGTACAGCACGTGATCCAGTCACGTGAGACTCTAGGGGACATTCTGTATCTAAGCCATGGCACTCCACAAATGGGTGCATGGGCTGTGGAGAGTAGAGTAAAGGCATCTGCTGTGGCTGCAGCTCAGACTTCCATCTCCCTCCAGGTAACACGTCCAGTAAGATACAGTGTGTCCAAGGCTACCTCTTACCTAAGGCAGAAAGGCTAAAGAGACACTGTGAAACCCTGAGTCCCTTTTCTTTCCCCTCCCAAGAGGTCTCCAGGATCCCATGGGTAATTCTTGCCATTGCTTCCCCTCGTCCCAGGGAAGCCTTGACCAGTTGGATGAGGTGGCAGCGCTGATTGCTGCCACAGTCCATGACGTGGATCACCCTGGAAGGACAAACTCCTTCCTGTGCAATGCAGGCAGCGAGCTCGCTGTGCTCTACAATGACACTGCGGTATTGGAGAGTCACCACACGGCTCTGGCCTTCCAGCTCACCGTCAAGGATGCCAAATGCAACATTTTCAAGAATATTGACAGGTGGGTTGTGCTCAGGCTCTCATGCTTAGGTCTGTGATGTACAAGTGGAGAACTTCGCTCTTCCTGACTTCTCTGCAAGCTCAGCTTAGGAGGAATGGAAATAATAGTTATACCATCATAGCATATGATAAAACCTGGCCCTCATAAGCTTGACTACTTTTCAGACTTCCTCTGTTTTTTCAATATCATTTGGTCATCAGTAAATTCATGAAAATGTTTTGTATACTGCAAGGCACAATACATATTGACTATATTGCTAATAAGTCTTTGCCCTCGCAGGACAATGTCCTGTCTTTTGTGTAAATCAAAGAAAACTTGTACTTCCCTGTCTTTTCCCAGCTTAGGAGGTGGTCCCCGTGGAGGTGTGGGAGCTCATGGACTGGGCAGCTAAGAGCTGGCCAGATGCGGCCACATAGGAACAATCCCTCTTGCCTGCCAGCACCTGTGGTCAGGCGGTGGGTATTTCCTGTGCAGCACCAGCCAACTGCTGGGCAGAGTCCTTGGAGAGGGTACAGAGCTCATATGGCTGTCTGGACTGCTTGTCTGCATGGACCTTCAGTGGAGTCTCCCAAAATCTGGAAAATATAGAGACCAGTTCTTCCAGCTTCATCTGTGTTAAGGATTGGGTTTTTAAATTTTAGCAGAAAGAATTCTTTGCAACAGCCAGTTTTATTCAACTCCCCATTCTGTCCTTTTGACGTTAGAAAATAATAGGAATTGGACAGTCATTTGGGGTTTTTGCTCCATCCACTACAACTTCTGTCACTTGCAAGCTTGAGAATTACCTGTTAGCAGGAGACCCTTCCATGGCTTTCATCATCAGGAGCCCTGCTTGTTCTCTGTCAGAATCTGTCCATGAGGATGGCAGTGGGAGACTCCTCAGGTTGTTGTCACCAGCCTGTCACCTCCTTTGCTCCCTGTTCTCCAGGAAGGGGAAGGGACTGCCTTGTGTAATAAGTGCCCGCCATGGGGCAGGTGTCTTAAAACTCATCATCACTTGAGGAAGGGTTAGCTGTCACTGGGGAGCATGGATAGCATCCAGGACCCTGGCTTTTCAGGAGGACAAACAGACAACCTCTCTTGTGATCTGCACTCATCTGACTCTGCCCCCACATCCCTCCCAGGCTGGGGGACTTTTGGTAACATGGCAGCAGAGCAGTTCTAATTCAGGACATAACATGAACAAAGCCCTTTCTCTTTCGGTTATTTTAGGAACCATTATCGAACGCTGCGCCAGGCTATTATTGATATGGTTTTGGCAACAGAGATGACAAAACACTTTGAACATGTGAACAAATTTGTGAATAGCATCAACAAGCCAATGGCAGCTGAGGTAAGCATCCTCTCTTCACAGGATACAAAGCACTTTCTCCCGCTTGAAGGAAGGGTGGTTATTTTCTTGGAGCTGGTAAAGTCCTGGCTGCATATTTTGGGGGAAAAGAAAATAGATTTACAGTGTCCAAAGCAACTCTGAGCTCCTTGAAAGAAGTCCCTGAGATCAAGCCAGTGGGGAGAAAAGGAGCTGGGCCCAGAAAATACCATGGGAGGAGCCCACAGATGAGTAGGGACTACCATGAAAAGTGGTAAGCTCTTTCTAATTCTCTTTCCTCTTTGCTGAGTATGCATACATATAATCCTTGTAAATTGGAGGCTGAAGCAGCAGGATCTCAAGTTTGAAGCTAGCCTGGACTATATGGCAAGATCCTGTCTCAAATAGATAAATAAATAAACAAACAGCCAAATAGATAAATATCTGTTCTCTAAGATCTTAGGAAACCTGGAAGTTGCAGAATGTTTTAAAGAACATACCCCTGTTGTTTCTCATTAAAATGAGCAATCCAGGATCTGAAGACCTCAGTGAAACCTGGTTTGACCAGAAAACAAAAGCATAAGTCATTTTCCCTCTTTTGAACTTACTGAGGTACCGTGCATCTGCTTAAGGTCATTTTAGAAAAATGGGACAGACGGCTCACATCTCTGCTGTTTAGGACAAAAATCAACTGTCCTCTGCAACCAAGAAGCTGCTTATAGCAAAGTAGAAAAGCTTTCTGCTCACTCTGGAGCAGAAGAGCTTGGGCAGTGGGAGTGGAGCTTTCTGTGGGGGTCTTGTGGGCACCAGGATCCACAGATTTTTGAGGGAAAAACTATACAGAATTGTAGACTTTAGAAATGGGGTGATCATCTGTCAAAGTAAGTGCCCAGCTATCTGCTGGGATTTCCAGTGTCTGTGGTAAGCAGTGTCTTTGAGGTGCACAGCAATCTGAACTGCCACCTTCAGAACATATTCTGCCTATGAAGGATCTAATAAGTAGACCCAGTCTCAAAAGAAAACAAACCCTCCTAAATGCTATGCAGTCTTTGAGCTTGGTGGAGCTCTGCAGAGCTAAGTAACTGTTTCACACACTCAAATTAATGGTGCCTTTGACAATGGAGGGGAATAATTTTTGGGCTCTGTGTGATCAGCCTGTGACTGTGTGTCCCCTATTCATGGAGCTCATGATGTGCCTCAGGACCGCTAATGGCCCCCTCAGGTGCATACAGCATATGACCATCTTCAAACATCACTGAACACGTGCCTTGCCCCCTTTCCACTGCAAGAGCCCCACACTTCCAAGGCTCACACTTCCCACCAGCCAGATGGAAGGTCAGCCATGAAAACTCCAGTGGGCATGTGCCATGAGAGAAAGAAACAAAGTGCAGGGCTGGGGGCAGAAGGTCACAGGAGCAAGGGAGTTGGGGGTAGGGGGAGCCTCAAATACAACTAAATGAATACCTGCGATTCTGGGTCTTCTCTGTTCCTTAGGAATTTGGGTTGTTTTGTCCAGTTCTGTGAGGAATTCTGTTGGTATTTAATTGGGACTTTGAGCAGTTTTAGAAGTACGTCCATTTTGACTGTGTTGGTTCTGCCCAGCTGGTGAAGCTGTGGGGGGAAAGGTTCTACATTGTACATGGGAATGGAAACTAGTACAACTACCATGCAAATTAATATGGAGATTCCTCAAAAAACTAAAACTACAAATTCCACTTGGCCTCTTCTGGCATCTTCCTGAAAGAGTTAGACACCATATTACTGTGATCCATGCATACCCATGTTTATAGCAGCACAATCTATGACAGCTAAATCTTGGAAGCTGCCTATTATGCCCACCAACAGATGAATGGATAAAAAAATGTGGCGTTTATACACAATGGAGTCCTGCTCTGCCACAAGGGAAGATAAACCTGAGTCATAGGAAAATGGATGCACCTTGAGACTATGATGTTCAGTGAAGTAAATCAGACACACAAGCTTAAATATCTCATGGTTTCTCTTATATGAGGAGCCCAAAATATAAATAAAGAGCAAAGTCTAATAGGAAGTAGGGAAATAGATCTTTTTTGGATGAAAGGGATCAAGAGACAGACAGAGGGGAGGGAGAAAGGGGAGAAGAAAGAATTGAGATGTGTTATACAGGTACCAACTTCCCACGAGAGATATAATCGTGCACTAATAAAATATAAAACAAAAATTAAATGAATAATTGACAGGTCACATGTATGGGCAGTTTATTCACCTTTCAAGCATGAAAGTAGCTGAAAGTTGTGCTTTTACACTTTTGTTGAAGAACTGGGAGAAAAGCCTAGGTGCCAAATTGCCCAAAACTGCCTAGGCCTGTGCCTTTGGGGAGGTAGGGCAGAGTGTGACAAGGAGGATCTTCAAACGCTGTCATACTGTTTGAGGTTTCGTGCCTTTTGTAAAGATTATATTCGTATCTTACTGGAATTAAGGCAAGGAAAAGCCTCCTCTGCTTGTGAGCCTGGTTAGTCCTTGTGGGTGTCTTCCAGGTTGAGGGTGGTGACTGTGAGTGCAGCCCGGTGGGGAAGAGCTTTCCCGAAAAGCAGATCCTCGTCAAGCGCATGATGATCAAGTGTGCCGATGTGGCCAACCCCTGCCGCCCTCTGGACCTGTGCATCGAGTGGGCCGGGAGGATCTCTGAGGAGTACTTCGCACAGGTACTCGGTGGCCCCAGGTGTCTGGGTTCCCTCCTGCTGAACAGCTTCTGAGCAGTTTGAGCTCCTCCTCCCCACAAGGGTGCAGCAGCTCACCTGCCCTTAGTGGGCTCCTGGGGTCCTCACAGCTGGGGCAGAGGGTTGGAGGGGTAGCAGACCCAGCCTTTACAAGTACATTTGCATCCTCAAATTCTCGGAGCCTGAACTTGCACAAGAATTAGGAACCCCATGAATTTCCTGGGTTACTGGTGTCTGCACAACACATTGTGGGGATAGACATGGGTGTGACATCCCTGGCCAGGGGTCATTAACAGTCCAGCCAGGAAAAGGAGACTGGTAAAACAATGAAAAGTCCAGCACTCAGGAGGCAGAGGCAGGAGGATCACTGAGTGGGCCACATGGTGAGTTCAAGGCCAGCCTGAATTACATAGTAAGATCTTGTCTCAAAAATAAAATAATGAAAAGTTCAAGTGTATATGTGAAGTGGACAGAAATTCAAAAAGACTTTTCTAGATACAAGGGATGACAGAAAAATGTAGTGAATGTTTAAAATGTTTTTTAAATTACTACTGAAAGATACACTGCTACTAACCCCTCAAAATTCCATCCCACTTCAAACACATTTACGATCATTTTTGCACTTTCTGAAGCAGTTTTGGAAGTCCTCCTTCATCTATCTCTAGGAGGTGTGATTAAAAAAAACATACAGTGGGGCTGGGGATTTAGCCTAGTGGTCCTACTGCCACCTGCCTCGCAAGCGCAAGGTCCCGAGTTCGATCCCTGGTACCAAAAACAAAACAAAACAGAACCACATACAGTGAATACTGCTGCCAAGCACCATCCAGTGAAAGGGAAGCTTAAAAAGAAATTACTGTGTGTCCTCATCCACCTTATTCCCTGAATCTGGTACTGTGTGACTCCTGGCTCTTGCCTATAGTAAGAATGACCATGAAAGGTAAATGATTGAATTGATTCAGGACATCCATGACAGCCCAGTTAAAGACACTTAAGAGAGAGGACTTCCAGAACTGCTTCAGAAAGTGGCAAGAACGGTGGATAAGTGTCCTCAAAGCAGGCTGGGTAGCATTTTTGGGGGGATTAATGGCAATGTGTCTTTTACAACAATACATTTTTAATACACACATCTTAAAATCACATCTCATAAAATGGAAGCTTTATGCAAGCAGAGCCAAAAGCTGATAGGAGGCCATGAATGGGCTTCCCAGGACCTAGAGCAAGGGTGTGAAGTCTCACACCTAATTCCCTCCCATGCATGAATGGGCAGTGGGAGAGCCACCTAAATTCTGAGATATAAGCTTCTTATTTAGGAATCCTCTTTTTAAAAGGAATGTACTAACAAGGCAATGTGACCTAAAGATCAAAAAAGTCCCAAAGGGAGCCTTGGACCAGCTGCTTCTGGTTGCGTGGCCAATCAGCTTAGTAGTTGTGTCCTTAAGAAGATGAATGTGTGCTTTCACGTGCATGGTAACTCAGATTTCCACACACGTGGACAGCAGTTCAGCTAATATCCAAATCTGAACAATCACAGTCTGCCATTCTTTGGAGTGAAAATGATGCTCTCTGGAGAGAAGCAGCTAGTTCAGCCACACCTTAATTGCATGAGTACTGTTCCTGAAGACAACCATCAGCCTCTGGGGTGGGGCACAAGGGCTTTCTGTGTATGACCCACTCATCAGGCAGGATGTGAAAGACAGGTACTCAAAGGTCAAAGCTTAATAAAATTAGTAATTATTAACACTTCAAAGAGGTCATTCTTAAGTGAAATTTTTTGAAATTGCAAGCATATGGCAGTGAAAACGACAGTGATTGCTACTGATCTGCTAGGCACCATCAGCTTCACCCACCACTCTGCTTTACGGTGAGCATGGTAGTGGTGGGAGGTGCAGTATGGTCAGGCTTTAAATATACAACAGGTCACAGAAAAGGGGGCTAAGTACTCTGAGGTCTGTGTTCCACGAGGGGGCGGTGGCATAGCATCAAAAGTGAGAAACTGAGTCTGGAATCTGACTGCGTGCATCGCTGCAGCTCATCCCGAAGTTGATCTCAGTTTTGTAACCTCACATGGCCTGTTTCTTCACAGTTAAAACTGACCAGGAGGGGGCCAGGGATTTAGCTGGGTTCCTCTGCCTGCCTTGTAAGCGGAAGGTCTCATGTTCAATCGGGGGTACCAAAAAAAACCAAAAAAACAAAAACCAAACAAACAAAAACTGACCAGGAGCACGAGGGCTCACAGATGCTCTGAGATTCAAGCTGTCACTGTGAAGGCTCCACTGTGCCCCATAGCCCCTTGTGGCGGTGTTTTTCCTTACAGACGGATGAAGAGAAGAGACAGGGGCTGCCCGTGGTGATGCCCGTGTTTGACCGCAACACCTGCAGCATCCCCAAGTCCCAGATCTCCTTCATTGACTACTTCATCACAGACATGTTTGATGCGTGGGATGGTAAGTTGGCCACTGCTTCAACACTCACACACAGCAATCTAGTATCCTGTGTGAAAACTGCCCTTGATGACACAGGCTGGGCCTAAAGATTGAAGTAATAGTTTTCAGAAAGTTAGCTGTGAGCTGTTCGTGGCCAGGTAAGGCAGATGTGTGTGTCATAGTTCTGTGTCCCCCACACTGGTACCTTGCCAAGTATCCACCATTTGTTTCTGAGTACAGATGACCCAATGGATGTGAGATGGCTGGACAAACAAGCATCCTCATCTTCAAGTGACATGTGTCCAAAGTGTACAGTAGTTTTAGTATATCATTGAAATAAAATAGAAAAGAATGCAAAATATATGGTGTCTATTCTGAATCGCAGGTTCTTTTGGTAAAGTCACAGATGAACACCTTTTGAATTAATCACAAGGACCTGTATCTGCATTTAATGAATTGCTTTCTCGCACTGGTGTGTCCACTACACCTGGTACCTCTCCTGCACCTGTCCCAGAGAGCCCTATGATCTCACAGGTTCCCTTTCTTTCATGTCCTTGCAGCCTTTGCACACCTACCAGCCCTGATGCAGCACCTGGCTGATAACTACAAACACTGGAAGACATTAGATGACCTGAAGTGCAAAAGTCTGAGGCTGCCGTCTGACAACTAAGCCAAGCCAGAGCAGGGGAGCTCTCGACCTACAAAGGGCACTGTGAACCACAGGAGTGTACGCAATAGGCTGTCCTTTATAACACATGACAGTGTAGGTTAAGGAGCTAATGGCTAATATTTGACCTTGAATCATGCGAGTCCCCAAATTTCGGTTTTAGCAAGTTAAGTACCATAAAGAAAAATACACATTCTTTTGAATAGTCACTTTAGTAACAAAACAAACACTTGGCAAATCCTCTACTGCGCTGTCATCCTGTGCACCTGTGTCACACCTTGGAGCTGAGTCACTGTAACTAGCAGGACACAGCAATGCCTGGTGCCTGTGAGGCCATCCCCTGGTGGTGACCAAGTAGCTTAGCTAGTGTTCGGTTCTTCTCTTACCATAAGTCACTGTTGCTGTTTAGCTTGACTGTTCTGAAGAGCATCGGTCTAAAGGATTCCTCAGAAGCTTATCTGAACAGATATACCTAAGAAAAAGGTTACATGAAATGAGCAAAACAATTAGGACCCATCATTGATAAACTAGTTAGCTTTACAGCTTCCGTGGCTAGGTGGCTCCTTTGTTGTGGAAGTGCGACACCCCAGTTAAGAGTGCAGCCTTGGTCTGGTGAGCACCCTCTCCTGGGCGTCAGTAGCCTGTGCAGCCCTTTGTTGTAAAGGAGGGGGAAGCCATCCACGAGTGGGGGGCTCACTCGTGGGGGAATCCACTAGATTCCCTTACTTCTGGCTCTCGGAGGCAACCATGAGGCACTATGCTGAGTATTACACAAAAGCCATCAAATCTAAATGCCCTTGGACAGCATTTTTTTAAAAAAATTTATATACATTTGCTGTTTAAAATTTTTATTAAAACAATCTAAATTTCCTGGGTCTAAGCCCATGGAGTTTGTTGTACTGTGCACCACCTAAGCGTATATATTTGGTGAAGGGATGGGGAAGTTTCAAGGTTCAGATTATTTTTAACTTACCTATATTTGAGATCATATCATCTGCTCTAGTGATATATAAAAGGGATTGCAGGATGTATAAATATATCAGAATATGGAGAGTAAATACTATTTTAAGCTATTAATTGTATGCTAAAAGCTTCTGAAGCACAAGTGCATATTTTTATACAGCTCTTTTCACAACTTTCTGTGATCTACATAAAGTCAGACTTGGGATTTTCCTTTTACCAGCCAACTCTTCTCTGTGTATTGTGAATATTAGAAACTTAGTAAACAAAATATCTTGTTTTTCTCTTTGAACTCCATGCTGCATTTCTAAGGGATATAAATAGGGACTGAATTAACTGAATCAGTAGTTATTTTTCCAAATGAAAATCAGAATGCAGAACACATGAAACTGGTACATGGAAAGAAAAAAAAGTGACATTATATAATGTGCCAATGTTTTTTTTCTATGTTTTGTACCAAAAATGGGAACATATATGACAATTCCATGCAAAGAAATGTATCTAAATTATTTTTGTTAGATGAGAAGAGAACTTGCTTGGTTGGGACAGCAGCCAGCTTTGTATTATAATGCTGCATTATGTAAATGTGATGAAATGTTTTTGTGAAGTACCTGTAACTAAATTCCTACAGCCATTTTTCATCCCCCAACAGCTGTTTTTATTTTACCTCTTTGGCCTAAATTTTTCATAATTTCAAATTTTGGGTTTAGTGTCCTTTATTTCATGAGTCACACACTTTGTTTTCATAACACATTAAAACAAGGATGCCAAAATCCCATATTAAGGATTTATAATTTATAAATTATAAAATAACTTGCCTAGGCGTCAGAAGTTTGCTTGAGGCAAGGACAGTAATCTTTTTTTCTGACTTTTTGGTTCCATTTGGTAAGTAACATTTATCAGGTGTCTGACATTTGCCATATGAAACATTACAGCTTACTCAGTGTTCTATCAAATCAATGTCACATTAACTTCAAACTCTGATATTGATGTGGGAAGTTAAATGCTTTAAGACAGCCAAGTACTAAAGCTTCAGCACAGCTGTTATCTAGTATATTCTTCCAGGTAGTCAATTTATAATACAGTCTTTCAGGTGGTATATGTATCAGTCTCTACATAATACAAATGAATGATTACCTCTTATACTGAGCTGCTTACTAAAACAGCATATGCTGAGGGGAGATATTAATTTAGGAAAACACCAAATGATCTTAGTCTCATCATTACTATAACTCTAGCCAGAAGTGAGTTGTAGAACAGTTACTGGACCTTAATAAGATTTTGAAATTTTCTTGCCCTGGGTCAGGACTGATTTACATCTTGGGCAAGAAGAAGCCCCACCAGCATCCACATAACTTGGAAGAAGTGGAAAGTATGACCCACTACTTTTCAGTGTGCCGTGTGAATATAGACACAGAAGGAAGTAAAAGTATTTTAAATATATGTGACAAGGCACAATACATAGTGTTAGTTCTGGTGTCGCTCAGATCACTAAGTACTGGAAACCAAGGTAGGAAAACCTAAAAAAATGCATTAAAAATATATTAAACTCAATTATCATTTATTGTAAATCAAAAGTTCAACTTTTAGCAAGTCTGCATGTTACTACTGAGCAGTGATCAGGTTCAGGTCTCTATCAGAATCTCCTGTCAGTCTGCTGCCCTCCTTTGCTTTACCTCAGGCACTCGGGATCAACTCTACCAACTAGGTGAGAGGCTGCTCTCTGAACTTACCAGGTTCTCCTAGTGTCCACTCAGTTATCTAGAATGTAGTGACATACAGGGTTTGCTGTGGTGCTGTGTTCCTAAAACTCATAAAAGACTAACCGAGAACAAGTTAGGAAACAAAAAAGTTTTTTAAAAAATCTATGAATTCCTTACCATAGTAAAAATGTATGAATTCCTTATATATTACACAATTTAAGAAAACGTCTTTACTAACTCATGGAATTTGCAAAGAAAAGCCCATGAGAAGAGAAGTTAAAGCTTTACACAAGTCTGCTGGAACCTGGCTGAAGTGCCCAGCAGCCTGAGGCGGAGATCAGACCACCTGTTGAGAAGGATGCTGCCTGCACTCTGATGTCTCCATCAAAAGTCAAAAAGCTGCCTCAAGGTTCCAGCTTGGACAGGCCTTGGGAACAATGGTTCACTGGGTCAAAGGCAGTGCCAGTTGTCACGTTCACATTCTTCTTTGCCATAATGGAGGAGACAGCTTCAATTTTAATATTTTTTCCATAAAGCTATTTCCATTGTGAATTAACACAACTGGGAACAGTGTGCTGTTTTCTCATGTGCTCACCACATGGTCATCTGGGCCTTTCTCTCACTCCAGTCCTCTTCAGTTGTTTCCCAGCTCCGCAATGATGGTAACAGACACCACAGGACAAGGCTAACTAATCACAAGGCCGTGGTTTCCTCATTTATAATATCATGACACTGGTCTTACCTAGATGAGCTGAACTGTGCTAACATAACTGCAGGGAGTAGTGAAACTTAAAACTAGTAAAAATAAGAATTTATCAAGACCCAGGTAGGGAGGGAGGGAGGAAGAGGGAGGGGGAGAAAGAGAGAGAGAGAGAGAGAGAGAGAGAGAGAGAGAGAGAGAGAGTGTGTGTGGGGGGGGGTGCATGTGTGACACAGATCTGCAGCAAGCTTCTTGAGAAGGATCAATCATCTAACACCAGTCACCTTGCCCTTCCTTTAATCTTCAGTAGGATTCTCTAATTGGCAGTTTAAGAATAATTTCATAATTAATCCCACCCTACCGTTCCTGCATGGAATACTTTTTATCTTTCAGCCTCAAAAGAGAAGTGATTTTGTCACAAGGCTGGTGGATTGATGAAGATGAGCCGATCACAGTGGACCCATAAAGAACCACATAAGCAAAGTCTTTCCTGCATTTCACACTATGTCAGGGCTCAGACTGGCCAGGCGCTTTTGGCTGCAGCCCCTGGCCTTGCAGTGCTGGGCCTCTTCGCTGACCCCGCACTCATCCTTGGCACACCTGTGCAGCAGCTGCTGGTCTAGCTGTTCATGGGAATTCACACCAGAAAAGAAATAGGCCTCATCAGATGCCTATGGATTAGAAAGGATGTTTGTAGCTGGAACTAAAAATAAAATTAATGATTTTTAAAAAATAGTACCAAAAGTTAGTATTCAAGTAGTATAGTTTGTTTTTTGGCTAAGATTAAAGCTTGTTCCCAGGGAAATCTGCAGCAGAAAGAATATACTTATCACAAGAATTCTTAAACAAGTTCTAAAGGAAACCAAAAACAAAACAAGAACTATTTCCTTTATTTCTACCACTTCATAAAGTTCTAGGTTCAAATTAAGAAATTCAAAACTTGTCCCTCGCATCGCATAGCCCAGCAGAAGCCTCTCGCTTGCTCTCTGGTGGGTGTACTGAGGACACCTGAGGCACACACAAAAGAACTCAAACACGCAGAATTCCATAGATTGTCAAAAATTGCAAATTTACATGATCAATGTATCAGTGGTCCTCAGGTATTACTTTGTATTTGATTCAGTGTTCATCTATATATATTCCTGATTCCTTACACTAGGCAACATGGTACAAGTCACCATTCTCCTCTAATTTCTGGAATAATTTTAAACTGCGTAATCCAGATTCTCGCTCTCCATTTTTCCATAAAATAATGAGATGATCAGCAGAGCAAGTCACTAGTCCATGATCTTCAAAATACAGGAACATCTGCAAAAAAATTAAGACCACTGATTATAGGAACTTCAGCATGAGAAATTCTAACACTGGATTGACACGTGGGCTTTAAGATGTACCTAGAAAACTTTTATTTTAGGGTAAAATTACTGCATTTTTCATGAAAATTTTCAACTGTTGCTAAGTCGCACACAATTGATTCCTGCCCAGCCAATCTGCTCCCTGCCACCAAGTAAATGCTGTCTTTGCCCTTTGTCTCCCACTTTCCCTGCTCATCATGCCAAACTATACACAGAGCTACCAGGCCAAAAGGCTGAGCTGCCTGTTAGCGGACAGCAAAGGTGAGTGAGACAGTCCCCAACAGCACGGAGCATATGGTGACAGAGTTAATCCTACTAACCTTCACACTTCAGCTCAAGTCTCAAGTCCTGCATCTTCCACCAACATTTACAGGGTTCAGCAAGAATGGTTTCTCTAACCCCTGAGTATTCACTGTCTGCTACTCCTCTGGGTCCAGCAGTGGCAGCAGAGAACAGCTTAGTAGGTTTGTCTCTCTCCTCCCCATGAATGCCAGGACTACACTGTGTACCTGTTTGTGAATTCCAGCATCCAGTGTAACCAAGGGGCTAGTACATATTCCGGGAATGCAGAAAATGCTCAATAGCCAGGGTAAGGAAGAAACCCTTTCAAATGAAAAGCAATCTGTCACTCACTGGCTATGAGACAGGAAGAAAAATTTGAAACTGCATTATTTAGGATCCTCCTGCTTACACTATTATTATACTGTTAGTAGTTCCAGTCACCTCATCTTCACTGTTCTTATTCATTACAGGTTACAGTGCCTCAAGTAAATATGAATGTACCCGGATTTCTACAAGTGAGAATTTTATGTACCTTATAAATGTTAACTAATTTTTATATTTGTATAATGTACAATGATCTGGTACAGGAGCTTTTATTTCTTTTTGTGGTTGAACCCAGAGATGTTCTACTGCTGAGCTACATCCTCAGCACTTCAACCCTCTTCTTTCTTTTGTTCTTTCATTCTTTATTTCTTTATTTTTTAATTTTGAGACACAATGTCCCTAAATTTCTTAGGCCTGCTTCAGATTTGCAATCTTCCTGTCTTGGCCTCCCTCAGTACTGGGATTACAGGCATGCAGCTTGAAGGTACAAGGTTTTATAAAGATAACAAATTATCTATCAGAGACAAGAGAAAAAAATGCTCTATTCATGAATTTGATAAAGGTCCTTGGAATTAGATTAAGGCTTGAACTCTATACCTACCACACCCCATCTGTATACATACGTGTTCCACTGTTCACACTGCGCTCACTGTCAGCTGTCTCCATCTCAAACTAATGCTATGTCCATTCTCAAAAGCAATACATTCCTCAGAGCCTTTCTCTGTAAAGGGAGATCCTCACTGCCCACACTACAGCATATGCTATTCCACGTGCAGATCCAACACAAACCTACAGCTGCAAAAGCACAGATCTTTTTGAGAGCAGCTGGCTGTACAGAGCACGTGGTACAGGCCTGTTGCAAGCTGTACCTCCACAGAGGACGAGTGTCCAATCAGATCTCCAATGAGCTCCAATGAGGATGAAGTGGCATTTTCTTGTTGCTTTTTAACAGGTTGGCTGGCTTGTTTGTTCACTCTTCCAAACCCCCACATATTAAAAAAACCTAGAAAGCACAATTATTTCAGTCACTCCCAAATTGCTGTACTTTGAGAATCGTAAAAGGAGACCAGAAAAGCAGAAAATGCAAAAATGTTCTGCATTTATACTAGTTAAGGGCTAAATGGATGGTACAAAGTACTATGCTAGAGTCTTTAAAATGTTATTTTGTTTCCTTTTTCTAACCAGGTTTGTTCATCTCTTTTTACTGTTCACACCCATTGGTGAAAGCATATTCACATGACAAAAAGAAAATAGACACTGGGAATAAAAGAGAAGTAAAACGGCCTGAATGGCAGTATCACTGTCAAAAGAAAATAATGTATTCCAGCAAAAACACAGCAGCAAAGCTATATGTAAGTGCCTCAGGACTTCGTGGAAGTCAAAAGAACCAGAAGCAACTGCAGGCACGAGCATTTGATTTCTCATCAAGGGTTGATAACTAATCCATATTCTGTTTTCCAAACCAAACATCCAAATGTCAAGAGCTCATGAATTATCATATAAACACAAAGAAAAGTGATTTTTTTCATAAATTGAGTTCAGTGTTAATGATGATGCTTCAACGCTAGAGAATACTTTGTCTGACACCTGACAGTATAAATGGTATATACCAGTCAAAATCGTAGACAATACAAATGAATAATTCATTAGGCCACCATTTGGTGGTCATTCGGATTACTAGAATATAATAAAATTTCCTTCAAAACAATGATATCCTAGTTGCCCCTACATTAGGGCAGCATGAAGACGTGACTCCTACCTCCCAATTACTTACGCCTCCTATGAACATCTGATTCCTGTTTCGAGCACAATCTGTATTCCTGTGATTTCACATAGTCACCCTTCTTCTGTCTTTTGTGTGAGAAGGGCAGGGAGCAGAAAGATAGAGAGGCAGGAGGGAGAGAGAGTGGAGAAGAGGTGTGCTACATTTTGGGGAAATACACACACCTGTTGGTACAGGCTCAGCTGCCAGCTGCTGTTTTTCTCGTAACTCCCAAATTCGTACACTGCCATCTTCAGAGCAAGAGATTAACTGCCTGTCAGCACAGAAAGTCAGTGATACAAAGACAAAGCACCATGGTGGGCCAAATGCTAAATGGGCAGTGAAAGAAATCACAGGAACCCTCAACTGCTTTTATTCAGCTCTTGGCAGGAGCTGAGAAAAAAACTCTTAATTTAACATGGCTATACAATGCAAACTAAAAGCATTCTTCAGGAAAGGTGCGTGCTACACTGTGACACTGGCTCAAATACTACAAATTCTCTCCATTTAAAAAAAAAGTGCACTCAGGCAAACAAGATATGAGTTACACTCCCATAATGTCCTGAGTAGTACTCCCTCCCTCCTCTCACTATATCTCTACAAATGCCTCTCCCTCTAAATATACAATATATATAATATACATATCCCAGAATTTCATCTCTAGAAATTCAACAGTCAAACCCTGAAAAGAAAACACCCATTTAGTAGCATTAGCCATGATGGAGACTGCCATTTGTCTCTGGCCATAAACACACAATAACAAAAAGGTAGGTAGGTCCACAGAAAATATGAAATGAAAAATGACTTTGTACATGGCCCAAAGCCTTTTCTATTTATTAAATATCATTTTTATATGACCTCATAAAATTCAATGTAATCCATTAGAACCTAGTTCTTATAAATTTTATCATATATTGATATCAATTCTTCTGCTAGAGAGCCTCAGAGCATTCTCCATTTCCAAAAGAACACACCAAGTCAAGCCACAGAATCAGACAACTTGGCCACCTGAGAAATTACACTGCTGGCCCCAGGGACCTTAACTTTATCTCATCTATTGCAGAACAACTAGGCACTTGTACCTGTTTGGAAGTTTGGTGATGTGCAGGACATTTGAGTCATGTGCAGTCTTCTGGCAGGCAATCACACGCTTCATTTGAAGGTTATATACATATAAACCCCTTCCAACTGCAGCAAATACATTCTGGAGGGGAAAGTTCAGAAATGGGCATAAAACCAGTGCTTACTCCCTGGTGAAATAGATTTCCAACCTCATGGGATATCAGAAAGCCGTTACGTTCCCTCTTCCCAGCATTTAGCCCAAATTACCACACTGCCCTCTAAGTCCAAAACTGTCAAGGCACCAAGGAAAGCTCGGAGTGTGCAGTGGGCAGAAGCACACATCACTCATATAGAAGTTCAGCACATCACAACCCTCAGCACTCATCTCCTCCTCACTGAAATACAACAGCTCAAGGAAGGTACTGCGGCCAGCAGCATGGGGTTTCACCCACATAACACTGCATTTTCAGGGAAATTACTTAGCTGTTTTTGCCTAGAAAAAGTGAGTAAAATTACTCTGCACTCACATCTTAATCGAGAGACCTATAAATGACACTGAAGTTACGCTGTAGAGGCACTATCATCTAGGAGCCTCTGAAGGAGTCACAAAACATTTTTCCAAATGTACATCAGAGACACCTCCTTACTAAAACCACCTTAATCTTTTGAAAGTGTGCTCACAAATGTCCATCTCACTGCAGCCTCACACCATCTCATTAAGGCAGGAAAGGCAACCATTATGCCATTTTCCAGATGAGCAAGTTAAAGCTTTAAAAGGATTAAAGTCACAAGAAAACAGACATGGAGTCAGTATCATAATCAAGGTCATATTATCCTAGTTCCTTGCTCTTTCCTCATAGCACACCACCTAGCTTCTAAAATTATTTTGTGGGTTACTAGACTTTGGGTAGCACTCATGTTGGAATCACACTCCTTCTTGGCTACAGTACCTCAAGAGCAGACCTTTCAAAACCCCATATAAATTGTCTACTCTTTAGAACCAGAGACCCGGACCCTCTGACCTTTCGTACAGGCTGCAGAGCCAACTCAGACCTACACCAGCTGAATCAAAGCTAGCCCAGGCTCACCCTTTTAAATACTTTTTTTCAAAACTGAGAAAGATAAAGTTAAACATACATGTAATTTTTAAGTAGGCAATCTAGTCTCCATCTTTTCTGAGACCATACTGTTTTTATTATACATATTTAGGGTTTTTTAAAAAACAAATTTGGGACTCAAAAAAAACAATCTTTGAGCATACATATACTTTTAAAATCCTCTTCTTATCCTCTTCCTTTCTTCTTTCAGGAGAGTTGCAGAGAAAAAAATTTTAAATATCATTCCTTTCCAGGACATACTGACACTTTTTAATAAAAATAATAACATGTAAGCAATTAGAAAGTTTAAATAGGACACGAGATAAAGCAAAAGAAACACTTTCCCCACTCTCTTCACAAAGGTTACAAACAGTTTTAAATTATATTGAGAAAAATAACTCCCCTTAAACACATTCTCTGAGGCCCTCCGGCTGTAAGAAGTGATTTTTTTTTTTTCAGAGCTGAGCCAAGATTCAGTGACAGGCTGATACTCATCTTTCATAGAATAAGTGGATCAAGAACATGACTGTGAAAGACTTAAGGATGGGGGCCGGAGATGGGCAGTTCTCACCCAATATCTTATGCAGGATGCTAACAGACTAAAAGAGAAACATTCCTGAAATGTTAAGTTTCTTTGACCTCTCTAGGAAATGTACCAAAATCTGTGGCCATCTTACAATTTTCTTGCCTCAGGATTGGAAGCAAAGATTAAAGCGTTTTTTTTAATGTAAGTAAGTAGTACAATCTTTGTAAACTATCAGATGATTTTAAAGCAAAACTTGAAACCAAAGAGAATAATTTTTATGTCCATAATGGGGGATTTTAAAAATCAGAAATTAGATTTACAGATTTCTTTTACCTCTTCATCACATGTGAAATGATGAATAGAAACGTCATTTGGTTTTTGACAGAGTTTGATTTCTTGCTGAGCATCCAGCTGTGGAGATGGGTCCCAGAAGTTGCGTTCATAGGCCTCCATGGTCCAGTCCAGGACATCCCAAATGATCAGCTCCCCAACATGGGAACCAGTGACAAAACTCACATCTAGACAAAGTTCACAGACCTCCATTATTGATCAGTTCCTCAAGGCCAATGGTGGCAAACCTCTGGCACATGTTACTGTGTTTTTCTTTTAAGACAAAAGATGTTAATGTAAGAGTTTTTTTTTTTTTCAGTATTCAGGTTTAATTGCAGTGCCACTTTGCAATAAACAAGTGGGTTTTGAGTTGCAGTTTGAGCACTCATCTCTAAAAGGCTCATCATCACTGCTCTAGGCTAATGGTAGAAATGAATGGACTGTTTATAGCAATGCTCTATAAACCACAGAGATCAGAATAGTGAGATACCTCGACAAGCACACAGATACTACAACAGAATGAAAAAACTAGAACTAGACTGAAGCTAAATAATTGACTTAGTATGTTTCACTTAAGTAAAGACATATCTCATGCTAGGGTATTTGGTCAAGTTGTGGGGGAATAAAAATAAAAGAACTTTACCTTGGATCATATACCAAAATAACTTTTGAATAGTAGAAGAAAACATTATAAGTATTTAAAGGACTGAAGAAAAGGAAGGTGAATAGTTTTATAAATACGAAATGGTAAAGGGCTCCAAAGGAAGCAGGGAGAGGGAGACAGATCTGAGTACATATTTGCTTGAGGTGAAAACAATCACCAGGCATGGTAGCACACACCTGTAATCCAACCAGGCAGGAGGCTGAGGCAAGTCTGAGGTTAGCCTAGCCAACTTAGTGAGATCCTGTCTCAAAATTTAAAAAAAAATAAAAAAAATAAAGAAGGGATAGGGATGTATCTCAGTGGTAGATCACTTGCCTAGAATGTGCGAGGCCTTGGATTTAATCCCCAGCATCACAAAAACACAAACAACAAAAAAAACCCATACACTTACACGACAAAAAGCTGGGGAGAATATGCAATGTCAATGTCAAATAGGTTTACTATATGTGATGCATAAGAACTTTTTAGAAATCACTAAGATCAAAATAAATATGAGCTGGGGATTTAGCTCAGTGGCACTGTGCCTCACAAGCATGCGCAAAGTCCTGAGTTCAATCCCTAGTACCAAAAAAAAAAAGGTAAACAGCCCAACAGAAAATACACACTAAGAACCTGAACAGATAAAACAAAAGGTACAAATAGCCAGTAAATATGTAGAAAGATCTTCAAACTTAGCAATCAAATAAATCTAAAAGCAATGAGATACAATTTATGGACTTTCAAGTTGGAAAATTAATCAATAAATTGAAATTCTTAAATTTCCTGTTATAAATCAGGAAAACAGTATTGGCAAGAGCAAAGGGAAGGAGCATACACACTGCTAAAGTCTTAGTATAAATTGGCATACTCTGTTCAAAGGGCAATATGCTGGGGCTGGGGATTTAGCTCAGTGGTTGTGCCACCCGCCTCACAAGCACAACAAGGTCCTGAGTTCGATCCCCAGTACCAAAAAAAAAAGAAAAAGAAAAAGCCCCCCAAAACAACTATGTTGTATACATCAAAACCCTAAAAAAATGTAAACCACCAATTTCATCACAAAAAATGTGATCCACCAATTTCACTTCTAGAAATTCATTCTGAGGGAAATGCATAAAGATATATGTACAAGTCTGCTAAACATAATCTTTAAAACCCTAAGATAACCTAAACATCTAGTTGGATATTGAAAAAATTAAAAAGACATCCATGGAATCAAACAGTAATGCTATTATTGAAAATTAACTTGTAAAAGTATGTTTATATTGATATGGAAATATATTTACGACATACTGTTACAAAATAGTACTACACTGTATATACACATATCCACATACGCAGAAAAACATCCAAAACGACATGGACTGGCGTTGAATACTGGGTAATGGGTGGTTTAAACTTTAATATTTTCCTTTTTATGTTTCTCAATTTTGTCATTTTTCTACTATAACTATGAAAAGCTTGTATAATAAGTTTTTTAAATCTTTAAAATGAAATTAATTGGCCAAGACACTATATAGTATACATTTAATAGAAAATTTATTGTAATTGCTAGATAGACTAAAATTGTCCTTAGAAACTATAATTTAATTCTTACATATTTAAGGGAAGACAGAACAGAGCAATGCACTAAGGCCAGAGATACAGGTTCTAATCCTGGCTCTGCCTGTGCTTAGCCTGAGGGTCTTTAGGAAATCATTTAACCTTTCTTTAGTTTGGATTCTTCATGTACTAAATGAGAATAACTGTAAAAACCAAATTAAACAATAAATGTCTACCCACTGTAAAAAGACATCAAATGTGATCTTTGAGACTAGAATTATTTTAAGCCTCTGGTATTATTCCACATTAATGGCATTAAAACATCCAGTGGCTAGCAATTTAAGAATACACAGTTGAGTAATTATGATTCGATTATTCCATTTAGCAAATAAACCAGCAGGACAGAAATTTCTAATAACCAGATGAACAATTTCTTAGAAATAAAAAATTACCAGCAATCACACATGTAATGTAAGCATTATCTTTGTCTTGGTCCCAAGGCCATAACAGGTAGCATATCAATGACTAATGTTTACAATTTGCTAAGAGATTAGAGAATTTCCTGTGAAGAAATAAGTTTACTTTTCATTTTAGAAGAGAAACAAGCTTCTAGTTTTTAACAGTGAAAAAGTCAAAGCAGTAGTAATCTTTCCATGGCCTACTCTCCTACCCCTTCCCCTCCTCTTTCCAATTTCATTCAAACTTCCAGATAACCAGGGAATAAAGAAGTGAAGATTCCTCCTGACTCCAGCTCAGTGTCTGGTCATAGCACAGAGTTGGCCTAGAGACCACACAGGTGCCTGCTCTGAACTAATCTTTCAAGGCTCTATGATTCTTCTATGCAACAGAAACACAGTATTAATGACCACTTGGAATTTTTCACTAAAAACAAAATATTGACATTCATCTGAGTCAGCTCTCTAACTGTACATAATATCACTGTGTGTATTATTTATATTCTCTGACAGGTCATTCAAAATGTTTCATACCAAACAAACCCAATGATGTATTATTAGTGGATAGGCTTTTCATTCTGTAAGTATCAAAAGCCACTTAGTATAAAAATTTCACCTGGCATCTGTCTGTTCTCATCTCTTGTTACAACACTTTGTGAATGCCATATCATACTGTCAGCACAAAACAAAAAAAGGAATAAAATAAAAAAGAAGAGCCCAGGGGCATTTTGCCAAAAGAGATTAGCAAAGTCGTTTTGTCTGTCTGTCTTAGGAAACATTGTGCCTGGGCATTCATTCTCTTTAGGAGCCTGCTACACAGTACCCACATTTATAGCATTCCCATCATGCTGCTAAGGTTGAGCTGGGACAGCCTTACTGAAAAAGCACTTCCTCTTGATGCAGAAACCCAGGAACTTGCCACATCTCTCATGGGTGATGGGTGAAAACTAAGAAGCAGGGCAGAAAATGGAACAAGGAATTGGGTAACATACTTCAAGATCACCCAAATCTGCAGAAGTGTTGACATGCCCATGTACTAGATCAGACTAGCAAATCTTTTTCAAATTCTGCCAGACTACCTGGCCATGTATGATTTCTAAATATCCTGTTTTTCTTATTATCTATAGTGTAATTTTATAGTCATACAATTTTTAAGTAAAAAGTATTATGGGTTATAAATAACTTTCATTAACTTTTTTTGTTGTTTTAGCTTTCCATTTTCCTTCTTTTAAAGAATCTGGCCAAGAAATACTTAAAGAAAGTATTTTTAATATGGTAAAGGCTCTTTGTATAGGACACTGAAAAAGGAGGACCATGAATTAAGGCTATTTTAGGAAAATGCCAGCATCTTTACTGAAGCAACCATGCTGGTTCTACAGCCCCAGAGCTTTACTGATAAACCAAGACAAGCAGGCAGGACCAGTATAAGAGGTCAAAATACTGCTGTGCTCTCCCCAGCAATTCCTGGGACTTGGGACTGATGGTCCAGTGTTACCAAGGAGGCTTCCAAGGGTCTCCCAAACAAGAACTTGCCTTCTGTGCTGCCATCCCTGACTAGAGACAAAGAGCACCCAGAAAAATAAAGGGCACAACCAACCACTGTCAGTTCTATCACCATAGACAATGTGGTCCTTGGAATGATGTACAGCTGAACTACACAAGAAGATGGCAGTTGAGGGAGGGTTTGGAGCTAGGCAGGACATTCTCACTGACATATCAGAATACGTGACCACATCACACTTGATACTCCTGCGCCTCTCTTCGTCTTGTGTTTATATAAAACGCTGCTCAAAAAAGCCAGCCCAGGCATGGAGTGCCGATCAGTCCTCTCATTCCTTCACTCACAGCAGCCTTACAGCTGTCTCTACAGGCTGCAAAGGGAAGCCAAGAGACCTCACATCTGCATTATTCAGGTCACCCAGTAGAGCTCTGATGATGTACACAACTGCAAGTGAACTATTACATGTGAGGATCTGAGGTCTGTGATTTTATCTGATGTCATGTTCAGCTCATAGCAGACACTAAAACCACTTATGGCTTCAGAGACAGTATCTGGCATGTCAAAACCCTTAACCAGCAGGAAGGGCAGACATGATCTATTTTTTACAAACCTTTGTGTGTGTGTGTGTGTGTGTGTGTGTGTGTGTGTGTGTGTGTAAGGCAGGCAGTGGAACCACCAGCCCTATTTTTGACAAATCTTTGTTTGCTCCTTCTGTCATGATTACTACTGGCTTAAATCCTGCTCATACTATTGTAAATGTATGACTTGCTATTGTCAGCAAGACCAAAGGGTGTAACTCAATGATAGTGAACCTTTTAGAGACAAGGCCTCATCACTTCTTGACCTTTTGGCCAAGATCAAGTGTAGAGACAAGTGCCCAAACTGTAACCCAAAACTCACTTATTTACCCCAAAGTGCCAACACTGCAACTAAACCTGAATATTGAGCTTTTAGTTTAGAATAAGCAACTCATACATTAACATATTTTATCTTCAAAGAAAAACAACATGCATGCCACAGATGCACCACCACTGGCATAGCTATTTGCAATTTTCTCTACAAAAAAGGGACTGGTCAGAACCATTTGCCAAGAATGCTAGAATGCCATGAGGTGTTAATCTTTCTAGCCTGCATTGGTCAACCTATAGCTACCAAGTGCTTCCTGAAACAGCAATGCTCTCCTCTCTCTTCTTCCTCTGCTTTACTCTGTTCTCCTTGACCCTAATTTTGAGACCTGCAAATCTATGAGACTTGCTCAAACTTGCTGGCTAAATGCTTAGAGGAAAACAGAGTGACAATACCTAGTAATCTGTACTATTATTTTAATAACTCTAATTCCAGAATCCTCAAGTAAACAAGACTGAAGCGCACAACAGGTTAACAAGTACATATTACATAACATAAATGTATACAACTAGCTTACCATTGACATTAACCAATGACAGAATATTGTCCTGGTGATCAAGGAGGCGTTTAACTTCAGTAATATCCCATTGCAGTGATCCTTCTGTGGGTGCTGCTAACCTAAAAATTACTAAGTGAGAAAGACATTTCATTAAAATTGTTAAAGAAGATAAAATACCAGTTCTGCTCAAAATGCAAGCATTTCATTAAGTGAAAAATAGTTAACATATTAGAAACCCCATCTGCATAGACAGGCTTATTGCTATCAATTTGAACTGCTTCTTTTAAATTCTTGAGATGTCTGTATCCATCAGCTTAAACCCAAAGTCTGAGTTTCCTTAGAACTCACTTTCCTCACTGACTCTTCTAAACCTACTGACATACACTAAAGCCTCTGCATGCTCCAGGGCTTCCCTTCATGCCTGGCTATGTGGATCCACTCCTCCCCTGGTCTGTTAAACACATGCTGCCAGACCAGAAAGTACTGCTACAAAATAAGCTTAACTTCTACACAGTGAAGGCTCTGACCACTTTCAAAAATTTTTTTGGATACCTTGGTATATACCAATAAATTATACATTCTCTAGGGATGTGCTTGTTAGTTTTGTATGCTGTATGGTTCCTTTGATTATACATGTTCAATGTGTTGCTTGACTCGTTATCTGACTTTAATGAATCTAGTTTTATTTAAACTAGGATAAATCCTAACTTTAATAAACAATACAGAAAATGCAAAATCAAAAAACCAACAGGATTCTATCAACCAACCTTTAATAAGCATCTCTCTATGTTCTAAGAGCTATGCTGTCAAATGGGAATGAGGCTCAGTCACTGCCCTGGAATGCACACAGCAGTGGGAGTGAGACATGGCCACGAGCTTAGTGTCAGTGTACTTAAGTGCTAGGAGAAGCCACCAGAGAAAGTGCCCTGGATGCTCAAAGATCAGGAGGCCTAGCATCTAAAATGGGGAATATCCTTGGGTGGTAATTACCCAAAGCCCTCCTCTTTCTTACATTCCTTTCTGGCAAACAGGTCATGCCACATTCCTTCTGGTATCTCTGACAATATTTCACCAAATGACAAGTCTCTAGCAAAGTTAGTAAATTCTGACAGCCATTAGCTGCCAAAAGGTTTTCCCATCTATGGAAAAGAACTTCCTTACACCTATCAAATTTATGTGGAAATGTGACTAAAGGTGGAGGATGCCAAAACTGGAGTTGGGATTTCAGATAGTAATATACTGTTTAATCAAACCAACAGAGACAATAACCTGAAACACTGACCGAAAAAAAAAATATGACCTAACATTTTGAAAATGTTTCACTCTCTATTATTTTTAGCAATCCCAAGAGGCCAAGCTGGGGCAGGTGTAGACATCCTTGAAATAAACAACTACTTTGTCTTTCTAGCACATACATCCTAATCTAGTTTTAAAATACATATTTTTAAAACACAGAAAAAGAAGGAAAGAAAAGAAAAAAATCATACTCACTAAGCTCCTTGCCAACTGCAGCTGCAACAGAGTTATTAGGTATTTCGACCAAAGCACTGATACCTTCAGAGACACATAAAACAAGTCAAATCTTTTTTTTCATGGGTTACATCAAAACTATTGTTTATGTCAGTCATTTTTCATAAATGGAGTGATAACAATAAAGCTCACAAATTTTGCTACACACACTGTCCTTTGCGCTTACATGTGGAAAATGCTTGTTCATTCAATAGGTTTCTGAGGCCTCTGGAAGACATGGAACATCTTTACTATTATATTAAAGTAGTATAGCAGCTATTCCAACTTACTGACAAGGATCCCATATAATCCCTGTCACCCACTGACAAGATGGCAAGCTCAAAATGAGATGCAAAATTGGAACTTCCCCTCCATATAAAGCTAAGAAGGCTGAGCGTGCCCATGGCATTAAGTGAGCCAGTGATATATCGTGCAATAGATATTTGGTTCTCATCTTGTTCCTTTGGCATACAACTGCTAAAATCCTTTGTAGCAGCTGTGGTGCCTCTTTATATGCTCATGGGAAGACTAATGACTGCTCACTGAAATGACCAAGGTAGGATGAAAGGGTTGGGATTTTCGGTGCCACCTCCCAACCAACAAGAAGAGAGGAACTGACGGTGAAGCTGGTCATTAGTGGCCAATAAATGAAGCAACCACACTTAGGTAATGAAGCCTCATAAAAGGGCAGTGTTCAAACAGACTTCCTAAAGCACAGCCCATGGTGACACACTTGGAAAGGGTGGAGCTCCAGGTCCCTGCCAGGTGCCTTGCCCTGTGCATCTCCTCCTCAGCAGCCTTTATTATGTCCTTTACTACAAGTGCTGGCCTGCGTTCTTTGAGATACTCTAGCAAATTAATTCAAACCCAAAGAGGGTTCATGGGAACATCCAGCTGGTACCTGCCATCAAAGGCTCTATGCAGGTCATCAAATAAAAGCATAGGAGAAACTGAGACTGAGTCTGTCACACCTGTATCAGCAAAGCCAGTAACAGCTAGCCATGGCTAAGAAAATGCCTTTCAATTAGCATGCCTATGGTCAATTGCCACATTTACAAAATTTCTTGTATTACTGACATAATCAGATTTTATATTCTACCATACTTCATTTATTTTAAATATAGAGCTTTTTCCTAAGGTTTGTGTCTTCGTTTTAAGAGACAAAGTCTTCCTCTGTTGCCTAGACAAGCCTCAAACTCCTGGGCTCAAGTGATCCCCCTGCCTTAGATTCTCAGTAGCTGGGATAAGAGGCATGCACCACTGTGCCTACTCTTAGATTTAGAGTTCTGTCTTTTCACATCTGAATTATATGATTGGAGGCTAACCAAAACTTTTGTGAGGTATGTTACAATGATTTTTTGTAAGAATTAAAGAGTTGCTATATTAGAATCATTACATATGTTAATTTTCCCATTATGATATATATGTACTTTATAATATATATTCAAATTGTGAAAATATTCCACACATCTGCTGATCCTTCCCACCTAAGAAAGACTAGTAGTGCTGCTGTGATCTGAACAGCATTTCCTGCCTAATTTCTCCTTCATATGGGCTTGTTTTGTATCTTCCATGTACGAGGGGGTGAAGGAGCTGTCAGAGGCAAAAGCAGAGGAGTGCAGCACATGAAGGTGGAGAAGGCAGGAGAACAGGGGCATGGGTAACAAGGGGATAATTTTAAACAAAGAAAATGTTTTATTTTAAAAATGTTTATTAGTTGGGCATGATGGTGCACACCTGTACTCCCAGCACTCTAGGAGGTTGGGGCAGAGGAACTTCAAGTTTGAGTGCAGCCTGGGCAACTTAATGACCTGGCAAGACCCTGTCTCAAAATTTTAAAAGGGAGCTAAGGGTGAAGATGTAGCTCAATGTAAAGATCCTAGGTTCAATTCCTAGTACTGCCAAAAAAAAGTTCTATTTAATAAACTGAAGTGGAAGTACTTACTGAATGTGGCAATATTACAATCTTCAGAACTAAAAAAAACTAATTTAGAGCACTGTATTTATGAGAATTTTCTGAAAACTCACTTGTCTTTCTAGAGTCTATCAATTATGGTTCACATTTACCTTGATTTGTTCTTACCTGTATCAGAAATATGGCTGGTCTTACACAAGAGATCTAATTTTCGGTTCCACACACATAAGTCATTCCCACCAGACAGCCAAACCTCCAGGCTCTGAAGAACAGTTAAACACTGCAAAATTGATTCAAAGTGAGTTTAGAAATTCAAGTATGTGTTGGATAGTTTTGAATTATGGCTGCAGGTTCTCTGAAATCTCTCCCTAAGATAGGTGGAACTTATTTTTCCTCCCCATGAACTTGTGCTCTACTAAACCAGTAAGATGAGCGTCTACATAATAGGGTCTATTATGCCTGACCCTAGTGTCACAGAACTAGAAGGATGGAGGGGTGTTGCAGGACTTACAAGAGGAAGTCACAGAAGACACCGAGAATGAATACTCAAGCAGCCTTAGGAGAGAAGTCCACACAGGAAGGAGCTGAGGCCTCTGGGCACCATTAGCATTATCCTGCCAAGCAGCAGGAACACCCCAGCCAGAGACCCCTCCAGGCCACGTGGACCTTCAGATGACAGAACCTGGACTAGAACCACTCACTGGAATGTTTTCTATTCCTGACTACAGACACTAAGATAAGCCTTTATTGCTTTAAACCACTTAGTTCTGAAGTAATTTGTTACTCAATAATAGATAATATAAAATGGTTAAACCCTTTTTTAAATAATAGGGGAAATATGACCTTCGTTTTTGTTTTGAATTATACATCTCCTAATTCATCAAAATAATTCTGTTGAGCACTTGGGAAAGCATGAGTTCTGAGGACTATGGAACTGGTTTACCTTCAATGGCACTAAGGTCCATTAGACTCCAGAACAAGGGAGTTGGTGGTTTTAATGCTCTCACACAGGCTGAGGGTAGGGCTGCTTTAAGACTGATGGAGAAAAGAGTTGAAATTAATTGATACAGGTTACATTATCTCAAGAAGTCCTAACCTATTATCTGGGTTTGTAGTATCAGTGCTTCGTTCCATTTTATTGCCAAGTAATATTCCACATACATTTTGCTTACCCATTTGTCAGCTGGTGGACATCTAGGTTGTTTCCATTTTAGCTGTCATGAACAATGCTACTCTGAACTTCAATGTACAGTGTAGAGTAAACATATGTTTTCATTTTTCTCAGGACAGTATTCAGGAATAGGATTGCTGGGTCAAACAATTCTATGTTTAACAATTTGATGAAATGCCAATGTCTGGAGTGGCTACATTTTACAACCTGCCAACAATGTATGAAGGCTAGTTTCCCATATCCTTATGAACTCTTGTTAGATTTGTCTTTGATAATAGCCATGCTAGTACATATGAAATTGTGTCTCAATTTCATTTCTGACTGACATTTCTCAAATGACTAACAACATCGAACTTCTTTTCATGTGTTTATTGGCCATTTGTATATACTTTTTGGAGAAATTTCTTTCAAATACTTTTGTTTATTTTTAACTGGACTATATCTTTTTATTGTTGAGAGTTCTTTGAATATTCTGGATATAAGTGTTACTAGATACATGATTTGCAAATTTTTTTCCCATTGTATGGGTTATCTTTTCACTCTCTCTTTGGTATTCTTTCAAGCTTTTCATTCTAATGATGTTCAATTTGTCATTTTTTAATCTTTTTTTAATACAAGGTTTCTCAAAAACCTTGATTTAATTGCTAAAACTTGGAAACAGCCCAAGTACCCATCAACTAGAGACTGGATAAAGGAGATGTGGTTTTTTTAATAAAATAGAGTACTACTCTGTCATAAACAATGAGAAACTAGGGACATTTACAACTAAGTAGATGGACATTGAGGCCATATGCAAGTGTATAAGTACCAAATAGTTTTTCTGGTGTGAAAAACTGAAAGTGTAAATAAGGATCAAAATGCCTAGCTGATATTGTGTAATACGAAAAAAAGGTGTTAAGGAGTAGGGGAAGTGGGAGGGGTTGGGGGAAAGGAAAGAAGAGACAAAAAAAATATGAGAAAAGGAAAAACATGGAAACAAATCTTTGTAAATAGGGAAGGGTGGAAGGGATGAAGGGAGGGCAGGGGAATGGGGAAAAAACAAGAACCAAGATCTGTCATGTAAAGGTACAAGATCCTAATGGTGGATGTAACTGTACAATATACCTAAATTGTACCAATAACCTTAAAGGGGGGAAAAAAACAAGGAAAAAAAAACCAGGAGAATAATCTACTCATTTGCTTTATTCTTGAAGAAACTTTCCTGTACAAAACAAAGCTTATGAGCCAGAAATAGTTTGTCTTGTAAGAAAACCTTGGCTGGTTTCATCAGTCAAGCAACTGTGCCTCAGCCTTCCCAGCAGCTGGGTTTGCAGGCAGGTATAACAGCGCTCGGCTCAGCATCATGTTCTGCAGAGACTATTTTTTTTCTATTGAAAGGTACTGGTGTCCGTGTCAAAATAAGTTGTTCATATATATGAGGCTTTCCTTCTGGACTCTCAACCCCATTCCTTTGATTTATATGTCTACCACTATGCAAGTACCACACTGTCTTGATTATTGTAGCTTTGTTTTGAAATAAGAAGTGTGAGCATTACAACTTTATATTACATTCCTTTTGAGGATTGTTTGGGTTACTCTGAGCCTCTTGTACTTCCATGTAAATTTTAAGATCAGCTTGTCAATTTTTAAAATAGAAATTCAGCTATAATTTTGATAGCATTCAATTTGTAGATCTATTTTAGTGTTGCAATCGTAACTACATTAAATCTAATCCAGGGTTGTCTTTTCATTTATTTAGATCATCCTTCTTTTGGTTTGTTTGTGTTTTTGGGTCTTTTGAGACAAGGTCTTACTATGTACTTCAGGCTGGTCTCATACTTGCAGGGATCCTCCTGCTTCAGCCTCCCAAGTGCTGGGATTACAAGCATGTGCCACCACACCTGCCTCTATCTTCCTTAATTTCATTAACATTTTGAAGTTTGTTTGTTTGTTTTTTGAAGTTTTTAATTAAGTTTTGTACTTTTAAATTTACTTCCAAGTATTTCATTCCTTTGGATGTTAGTGTAAATAGAATTTTCTTAATTTCATTTTAGGGGTGTTAATTCAAATATATAGAAATACAATTGAGTTTTGATAGTATATCCCAAGAGCTTGATGAATTAATTTGTAAGTCCTACTAGTTATGTTGTGGATTTAGGATTTTCTATATATATGATCATGTCACTTAAAAATACAAATGAAGACAATTATGTTTCTTCTTTTCCAACATAAATACCATTTATTTCTCTTTTACTGTCCAAATGCCCTGGCAAGAACCTCAAGTGCAATGCTGAAAAACTTTAAGTGTATTTCAGTAAAAAACACACTTTCATTTATTCCTCTCCAAGTAGTGCCCCCCTGCCTTAAACACATTCATCCTATCATTTTTGTCACTTTCTGAAGCAGTTATGAAGTCCTTTTTCATAACTGACTTCGGCTGCACTGCTGTGGCTGCCTCAATATCCTGAATCAATTCAAAATGTTTCCATTTCATGGTCATTTTGACTTTGGGGAAGAGCCAGGTGATGCACAGTGCCAGATCCAGTGAACACTGGATGAGAACACAGCATCATGCTTTTAGGAACCTGTCTTTCATTGGATGGCACTTGGCAGAAGCACTCATGGTATTTTTATCACACCTCATAAAAGGATGAAAGAGGACACTGACTTTAGAAAGCAGCAAAAGAACAATGGGATACATATGCTTGAACTAAGGAGGGTTGAGGGATTAATAGCACTATAACCTTTACTGTAATAAATTTTAACTTAAATAGTCATTGTATGTTTCACTCACAACTCACAATTATAGTGTTTCTGATATTATGGATCTGTATTTATTTGATTCAAGAATAACTAGCCAATTCCCCTGTTGAGTATCTTCCCAAAAGAATTAAAAGCATTATACCACAGCCATATATATACATATATATATATGCATACTCATGTTTATAGAGGCACAGCTGTAATAGCTAAATCTTGGAAACAGGCCACATGCCCATCAACTGGAGACTAGATAAAGATGTGTGGGGGTTTTTAATATATAAAATGGAGTACTACTCAGCCATAAAGAATGATAGACTATAGACTTTTATAGCTAAATGAATGCACATTGAGGCCATACTCTCAAGTGAAATAAACAGGACATGCATGTGCAAATACCAGTTTCTCTGGTGTGAGAAACTGAAAGTGTAAATGAAGACCAAAACGTATAAGATGATGTGAAATAGGAAGAAAAGCCCCAAAGGGGAAGGGGAAAGGGAAGGGAAAATGAAAGTAGAGGGAGAGTAGGGGAAAGGAAAGAAGGGAAAGAAAAACATGAGAAAAGGAAAAAACAGAAACAAAGTCTTTATAAATAGGAAGGAGTGGAGGGGTTGAAGGGAGGGCAAGGGAATGGGGGGAAAATAAGAACCAAGATATACCATTTACAGGTACAAATTCCCAATGATGAAAGTCATCATACTGTATACCTAAAATGTACAAATAAACAATGAATTAAAAAAATAACTAGCCCAGCTGCACGTGATGGCATATCCCTGTAATTCCAGCACTCAGAATGCTGAGGCAGGAGGATACTTGGTAATTGAAGGCCAGCATAGGTTACATAGTGGGTTCAAGGCCAATCTAAACTATACAGTGAGACCCTGTCTCAAAAAAAAGGAATAACTTGGGCGGGGGATTTAGCTTAGTGGTTCTGCCACCTGACTTGCAAGCATGAGTTCAATCCCCACTACCAAAAAAAAAAAAAAAAAAAAAAAAAAAAAAAGAAAAAGAAAAGAAAAAAAAGAATAACTAGTTATTGGTGGTGTACATGTGGTGGCACACACCTGTAATCCTAGCTACTCAGGAGGTTGAGGCAGGAGGATCACAAGTTTGAGGACAGCCTAGGCAATTAGACCCTGTCTCAAAAATAAAATGAAAAAAGGGATGGGGATATAGCTCAGCAGGAGCTAGCTACCAAGTTTAAGCATATTTAATCTCTAGGACTTAAAAAAAAAAGAAAACAAATACAATGGAACCACTGTACTAAAGTAAGAACAATGCTATCTTTTTAACAATTTTTTTATGTGACACAGGATCATACATACCAGGAGTAAGCAAATACAATTATCTAGTAAATTAGTGTGACAATATAACCCCCTTGAAAGAGTATTTTCAGGATACTGAAATAAGGTACATTTTTACTGATGAAGTCCTACACTTAGTTCATGGAATTTCACTGAAATACACTAAAATTTTTCCTCTTTCCCTGTTCCTTTAATTAATGTATTTTCCTTTGAAACCTACTGACCTTAGCTTTTCAGATAGCAAGGATTATTTTAAAGGAATGTAAAAGTAGCATCTTTTCAGATCACATAACAGAGATTTTCATCTATAACATCAAAGAAAGTCCACTGCTAAATTAGATGTGCACTAGTACATGATACTTCTTTCCCCAGAAACTTTACTAAATTGGTATTTGTAACAGCATTGTGCTATTAGGTGGCTATGAGAGGTGCTGCTTTTTAAAAAAATAATGATGTAGCCTATTGACACCCAGCAATGCTTTTTACCTTAAAACAAAAAGGTGTTAGCTCAAGTACAGACATCAGCTATCTTTAAAACAAATGAGAAAATGTCTCATTTTACTACTGTCTTTCCAAACTAACATTAAAAACCATTGCTGGGCCGGGGGTTTAGCTCAGTGACACAGCACCTGCCCAGCAAGCTCAAGGTCCTCAGTTCCATCCCAAAGGGGGGCGGGGAGGCAGTGTTACTTTCCCAGAACACCTAAGGTTATTTCTTCTTTTAAATCACAACTAAGTTTTAGCCATGTTTGCTTTTTAGCATGTAGCAGAATTCTTATCATATAACCCTAACTAATATAATAGTAGAAGACAATTAGCCACATAAGAGTTTTAGTTTTGGAGCTAACGGACACCTTAGAGAAAGCAAAGGTCAGGGCCAAACAGCTCTACATTTTTAGTTCATCATATAAAGAAAACTGTTCACAGTTATTTTGCCAGTAGCACCCATTCTGAGAATTACCTGCTAAAGACATACCAGCTCTTTTTCTTCACTCTGCTGTAGCAATTAGACCCAGTTCCAGTTTCCAGCTGAAACATTTTAACATTTAAAACATATGCTTCCAAAAATCTAGGCTTTGACTCAAATGAGTATAGGTGTGTATGAAAGATAAAATTTTTTAAATCTACAAAAATAATTTCATCTAATTTATTAAACCATTTTTTCTTAGACAAAAGGACCGAAATGTATAATAGATATTGTGAAAGAGGAAGAAAATGTTCAAAGGGGAAGGGAAACTAGGGGAAGGGGTAAAAAAGAAAGAAAAAACTGAACAAAAGAAGAAAAAAACAGAAACAAAGCTTGTGTAAATAGGGAGGTGTAGAGAGGTTGAAGGGAGGGCAGGGGAATGGGGAAAAAACAAGAACCAAGATATATCATGTAAAGGTGTGAATTCCCTTATGAATGTCATCATACTGCATACCAATAAACTCAATTTTAAAAAGGACACAATAAAACTCATAATTCCTTGAGATTTTACCTTCACAGTAGACTGGAAGCATGATACTCTCTGAACTTGTCTGCCCGAATCACAATCCCATACCTAAATTTGTGTTAAGAAATTAATTTCTAAGTAGAATTTTTACATTATAAAGGTAAGACAACTTTTCTAATTAATAATTAACATTTAATTAAACATTTAGTTATAAAATCTTTAAATAAAATATGAAATATTTAGTATTTATACTATCATAAATATTAATTCATATATTGAGTCATCAACTTAGCAGAACAGGCTTACAATCTCAAGTAAGCTTGAGGCAAATTTTACTATCAAACTATTTGAAAATGTCAACAGAATTAGTGGTCTGATGTACTGAATCTTTATAGGTATTAAATATCACACTGTTTCACATTTATTCTCCACAACAGTCTACTACAAACATGGACATAAAGAATACCTACTAAGAACTGTCAAATCTATTATTTCCTGAAAGCTCCCTGTAATGCCACTGGCATGACTTACTACTATTACCCCAATTCAAAGAAACAACAGTATCTTACCTGTGTATGTATCTAAAACAACAGAAAACCTTTCCTAAAATGTCTGCAGTTAGGGTGACTTCAGAGCTTGATGATTCTAATTTTTGAAACTATTTCCTATGGTAAGAAATGTACTTATATCATATCTGACTTTCATATATGTAAGTCTGTATTTATATTAAAAACAGAAAGGAATTTCACAAATTAACCCTATCGTATTTGATGCATTTTCATTATATCCTATTTCATAACTTAGACATATGGATAGCTATATATACATCTATGTATATGTCATAATAAACAAACTAATGGCACACAGAAAGGGCTCCCAGGAATGTTTGCTGGCCTTATATTTATTACACTTTTTTGGGGGGGTACCGGGAATCAAACTCAGGGCCTCACATTTGCCAGGCAGGCACAGTACTGCTAAGCTACATTCCCAGGCCACTTACCACAATTCTAATATTATCTCTCATTCTTTTCAGGTATCATTTGAAAGATGAATGTTCTATGCTGAACAACTTGAGCTCTTAGGGCTATCGTGTGACAGAAAAAATTTTAAATCTACCTTCAGCATTTAAAGAAGCATTTAATTAATAGTGAAGGCCCAAGCAGAATTTAGAGTTCATTTGGGTAAAACAAACTGCCAACTAAGCAACCTAAAATTTTTTTTTAACCAGAAAAGTCATTCAGCAAAGGAAAGGACTCTATACTATCATTTATAGATAAAATTTATACTGCTATTATCCCAGCTACTTATTCTATACTATAACAGTAATTTTAATAAGTGCTTTGAAATACTATCATAGTGTCTTAGGAATGGTCTAATAAAGAAAAAGCATTTTAAATTCTATTTCTGCAGAATTTATACTGGAAAAAAGTTTTATTTCATAAAATAATATTTGCTTCAATGGAGTAGCAGTAAAAATGCTACTCTGGCCTAAACATTAAGCCCTTATTTATGTCATTAATTAATCACATAAAATGTATTAGCTGATGAACTCATTTAAAGTATGGTATTAAGTATATCTTGGTTCTACAGAAGCCTAAGAAATAGCTAGTCTTTTAGGTTCACTTCAAAACTTAACACCATTAATGCTCCAAACTGCTTAAACAGAACTTTCAAGTAAGCAGAGATATTTTTTATTTAAAGCCAATCTGGTGTCTTAAAAACAAATACTGAAAGAACAGAGTTATCCAGAGCACTTGGCTATGAGCTTCACAAATTCAGTTCCTCATAAGGTTATTAAAGGGCTGAACTTAAGTTTAAGAAGATATTTTATGAAGACTGTTGGATAGTGGGTCAGAGATCAGGTTTGTAGCCAGACTGTTAGGCAGTTCTGCCCTACATCAGCTGCACGCATTGGGGAAGTTATTTACCATTCTCTGTGTTCTACTTTCTCATCTGTAAATGATAGTAACTAAAATTACCTCTTTCAAAGGACCATTTTAAGGATCAAATGGGTTAACATATGTAAAACACAACATAGCACACTAAGCCCTTTATAAAACTTGACCATTGCTGTTACATTTAACTTCTTACTAAAATAATGGGGGAAAAGGTAACTTTACTCTGTAAAAGTGTTTTAAACCCCAAATGTCAAAATTAAACACTGAGTAGTGGTAATGTACTTTTTTGCAGACTTAGAAGCTCATGGCTTGGAGCCATTAAGTTGCTTTTGCCATAAGAGAGTTAAAAGCATGAATTATTCTGTAATCCAACTCATCTTTGTTTCCCTAAATTGAAAAGCAAATTGAAATAATACAATAAATATTTTAAGGCCACAGTCCCCCATTTCCTCCATTCTGCACAGCTCGATATAATAGTAACTCTGAAAGAAACAACTTCAGTCATGAGGTTTCCATCAACACAAACCTTAACCTGCTATTTCTAGTCTAATACTTTTCAGGTACCTAATACTTTTAAGAAGTGTCTTATGAAGACTAGAAAAAAATCATTTTTGCTACTACAAGAAGGTTCAGACTAACCCCTAGAGGCTAAAGACTAATAATGTATGTAGGGCCCCTGGGGTCACTGTGGCTGCTTCACTTTCTTCCAGACTTAAGGATATAATAACTGTTCGATCAGCAGAGGCTGTCAAGATGAGCTGATTTTTTTCTTCACAAGATTCCGAGGAAGGAAATACAATAATAGCTGTTATCTTTTGAGAATGTCCACTGAGTTCCAAAAGTTTTTCTCCTGTCTGAAATACCAATAAAAATGTTAGTAGGCTCATCTTTCCAATTTAAACCGTCCTAAATGACAACATTTCAAAATTCATGACTTATAAATTTAAGCAATCAAATAGAATCTAACAAGTGCTAAAAGAATAGCCATAAATCATTTTCACTATTTTTGAACAGAAAATCTAATTTAAAGGGATAGTTTTCTATGATTTTTAAGAATATGCAATAATTATATAAATCAAGCAAAAACCATTAGAAATTTAATCCCTAGGGAAAAACAGGAAATTATTATCTACCTTTTAAGCTGTGGAAGAAAGTAGGTCATCATAAGCACACGTGCACATGTGTATTTTACTGACTGATCTCCACACAGTCAGTCTCCACTCCATCGTCACGTAACACCAGCATCCATTCCCACCCACTCAGGGGCTTCCTGACAACCTCTCACTCATGCACCAAGCAATAAACATACAAAAATAAAATGTAAACAGTATAAACTGCAAATCTTCACCAGGTTGTAGGATTTCATGAATACATAGAAGTACCCTGGCCCTCCACATCCACCAGTTCTGTACCCATGTATGCAACCAACCTCAGATAAAAAAAAAATTTTTTAAACTGTGTCTGCACTGAAAGTGTACGGACTTCTTTTCTTGTCGTATTATTTTAAAATAGTGCAATAAGAATTTACATAGCCTTTACATCTCATTGGGTCATACAAGTAATCTGGAGCTGATTTAAAGTACATACAGTATTTATAGGTTATATGAAAATATTCACTGATTCTGGTGATCCTCTGAGGGTCCTGGGGAGACTGATTGTAAAGAATGGCTTTGGTATGGGAAAAGCCACTGAAAAATGAAGATCTCACAGACTAGATCACAATCCAAAATAAAGGTACAATGAGAATGAAATCCTAAAAGAGAGTCATTTGAGAAACAAAGCATCAGGAGGAAGCCCTGGAGACACTGGAGGCCTTTAATAGTTTTGAAAAAGCATACTTTCTGCAATATCACTAGTCAAATATGAGGAGAATGTTATATGATGCTATTGTACCATGATGAAAGAGCTGTACCTCTCACAAAAATCAACACTTGATCCACTCTGAAAGTCAGTGCATAGTTACTTATGACCTAAATTTTGTTCAGTAAGACTAAAATTTTTATTTTAATAAAATGACATTTGTTTTTCGGGAAAATATCTTAATAAAGATTATCTAGGCAAGCTGGCCCATACCTGTAATCCCAGCACTGTGAGAGGCTGAGGCAAGATGGCAGCAAGTTTGAACTCATCCTAAGCAACCCAGTGAGATCTTGTCTCAATTTTTTTAAAAAAATTTAAAAAGCTGGGTAGCTCAGTGCAAGGCCCTATGCATTTAATCCCAGCCAGACACACACACACACACACACACACACACACACACAGAAATAAATGTGTCCAAGTTGCCCTTTACAGGTATCATTTACCTCAAAAGATAATAACATGCAAGTATCCCTATACAGTACTTAAGAATACTCAACTATGTGTCATATATTTATTACCCAATCCACAAATAATCAATACAGACCTGAGCATTCCATACAATTACAATTCCATCATCACCAGCAGATGCAAATCTGGTTAGAGGAAAACAAGACAAGAAAAAAAAATCACTGCTGACATTTAATTGGTAAGATTAACTAAGAAATATATTTTATCAGTGGTATTATGGCTTACTAACATTAACGAAGACTAAGTTCTTTAAGTTTAGCTCACAAACATTAAATGCCTTCTGAGTTCTGTGCCAGGCACTAAGGATCTAAAGATATATAATATATTTACAGGGTTGCAAAGAATAACCTGCTATGGGGCCAGAGATTTAGCTCAGTGGCACCCCACCTACCTCACAAGCACAAAGTCCTGAGTTTGATTCCCAGTACCAAAAAAAAGAAAATAACCTGCTAGAAATGTTGAAAGATAGATATACAAGGAAGTTACAAATATGACCTTTAAAGTCCTTCCTTGCTTTAAAATTATGTAATTTTTAAGAAATCCCTGATAAATGAAACAAAACCAAGCTGAGAAGCAGCTGATAGTTCAAGGATAGAATGGAATCATGTCCTTAGTTTCATTATTTTTATTACCCTATGAAAGTATTTAAATTCTGTTATCCAAAGTTGAAACCTCTCCTCAGGGTAGACACAGGAAGACACCAGAGCATGGGATGTTGTCTGCAGGTGACTGCTTGGCAAGCCAGGGGATGTGGGCAGGGTCTTGGCAGTGTCTACTGGAGGAGAGTGGGTAGGAAATCAGAAGGGAAGCAGGGCACAAGTCATGGAAACCAGGACAAAGATCTTGGATTTAATTTTGGTAAGATGGCAAGCATCTGGAGAGTCTGAGTAACATGATCTGATTATCTCCTTTGTTCATTTAGTTTTTATGTCTTTCCACATAAACTTGGGTTTGGAAGGCTTGGGGCTTTTTGTTGGTTTTTAGTGAAGAAGCCTGAAAAGCAAAGAGGTAAAGGAAAGTGTTTCATGGCATAAAAAACAGCAGTAATAAACTCTAATTTATCTCTCTTCTTCACCTCCCATTCTCTATGTGTAAAAACAGGAACAATAATCTATGTTCAGTAGAGTAAATTATATCTTTGACACAAACAGTTTCAAGAAATAATTTGTCTAACAGGATTACTCATAACAGTGACTGTATTGCAAGAAAGTCACAGGCACCATTCTTAGGCAGTAACTCAATACAGTGGAATACTATAATTTATAAGTATGTCAAATCATTTATTAAAAATGTAGTGCACAAGTTCGTAAAATGAATTTTGATTTGGAAACAATTCAGAGTCCCCATAATATCACATTCCCTTGAATTCAGGTTTACTTTTTTAATAAGAGCAAGAGAGGTGGTAGTATAGATAGCCAGCTATGAAATGTTTGTCACTGGCCCCTATATCTATTCATAGAATAAATGATATTCTATGAATATCCAGGATATTTAGAAAATCTGTAGTAATTCTTTGTAAGGTGGTTAGTGGGTGTCATACAATCTGGGTTTGCCTTGGATGTGTGCACTCAGATAAACACTGTTGGCTGGATACTTATCACTGAGGAAAGATAGATAATGGAAACACTGGACACAGAAATGACTTTGTTTCCAGGGGGCATCAGTGCATATGGAGTTCACCCCTATGGGAGGGCAGAAGCTCTCATGACTTCAGCCATTAACACCTCCTTAACACTCCAAACCTAGCTTCAAGTCAGATTTCTCATTCTCATTTTCACAGTCCCCCAAATGCTGTCCAGTACTTGGCTCTCACTTCACAACACTCTGATTAGATCTTCTGTTAGAGTAAGAGGCTACTGAGCAAATAGGACACTGATCTAACGGTCAGATGGAGACTCTTCATAATATTTAATACAGTATTATGTATCTTTTAATGGGAACAACCCTAAGACTAATTAGTAAACTAGCTATAAGCCACAGAGAGCTCATTTTAAATTCATGCCTAACATTTATTCTCATTTCAAAACGTAAGAGATAAAAAGATCTGGAGATCAAAAAAATAATTAATAATTTTAAGTTAAAAAATATAATTTCTTGGGCCGGGGATTTAGCTCAGTGGTTCAGTGGCCTGCCTTGCAAGCGCAAGGACCTGAGTTCAATCCCTTCTCCCCCCCAAAAAATATATATATAATTTCTTGTGCTTACTTACATACATTTTTCCGAATCCCAATACTAAACAGTGTCTTGACCATCAAAAGTAGTTGCTGGAAGTAAATCTTTTGTAGTTTATATTTCTGGGCCTACTGATTTCTTTTTATTTATATAGTGATGGCAGGGAGGGCAGGTCTAGGGGTCTTAAGTTTTCTTTGGTACAAAACATCAATTTCTATTGATTCTTTAAACTCATAATTGCTTTTCTTCCATTTAGAAAGCTGCAGGTATAAAATGCACACTTATTTCTAATCCAAATATTTAACTCTCTCACTCTTGTTTCATGTGTGGATCTCACAATGAGAGATGACTGAAATGTTATGAGTTTAGAAATGAGATACAAAGTATCTCACCTGAAACTTTAATTCAGTCAGTAGAAAACAAAAGTTAAATCTAAATAATGCTTGATGGCAATGCATGAAATTATAGTCAATTTTTTATTACTCAGAGGTCAATTATCCAGTTGGCCAGACTATTCAGGCCTTTCAATTCTCCTATATATTCTATTGCTGCCTTTTTACTTTTTAATCAGTTCAGTATTTATTGCTACCTCTTCTAAAAAGAAAACATAAAGCTTTAAAATTCAGGCCAGTGTAACTTTGCTACATACTGGTATCAAAAAATAACAAAGAAAAGGCTAGGGGAGCATTCAAGTATTTCAATTACCTATCCTACTATGAGGGATAGCTAGAAATTATCCACAATATATTAGCTTATCTAAAACCAAATCCTAAGAAGTCAATCATGTGCTCCAATCATCTCCAAGCCAGAAGTGAAAATTCAACCCAAGAATTCCTATAAGATATACTGCAACTGCTACAAGGCACAAACTATAAAAAATGAATAATTAAAATGTCAGTAAGATTTCAGCTATAAATGCCATAATATTTTTATATAGAATCCAAAAATATAAACTTAGGTATAAGATTTTGAGAGAAATAGTTCTCTACTGATTAGCACCAAAATATATTTAGCGCAATTCCAGGCTAGAATTAGAAAAATGTCAACATGAATTAACATGGAGTTCTTGCCTTGAGATCTCACAATTGAACAATTACTTAGAAATGTACTATATTTCAACAAATCTAAGGCATCACCAATTGTAAAACTCTCTTGTTATTTTATGTACCATTAATGAAAAATGCTACCAATTATAACTAAAGGACACCAATTATCTGATGCGTCCAAATTCTGGAGATGTTAAAATGAGGGAAAAAATGCTTCTTAGAATCAATAAAATATAGTAATTATCATACTTACTGATTTTTACAAATTTTTACTTTCTAGTCTAACAAATATCCATCTCTGATAGGTTTAAAGTGCTAAAGAAACACTTGTTGAATGAATGAATAAGCAAATTTTAAGTGTTACAAGTGTCTATGAAATACATTAATGGCATTAATGTAACCTCCTCATCTCCTTTTGTTGTTATTAATGTATGAATAAATGTTAGGAGAAAAATAGGAAAAAATTTTAAGCTCAGAATCCTATTTTTAAGTTTTCTTAACTTGAAACCATGTTTTTAAAAATGCTCAACTATACAATTAAATGACTAAGCCAAAATTACATACATGAAAGACAAGTTTAACAAGATGAAGCAGTTTAATGAAGACCTGTAACAGACCTTCTAGAATGTTTCATCCTCCCCTTCACTATGAGAATTAAATTAAACCAATAATTCACTCATTTGTTAAAAAATTATTAAACAAATTATATATGTGATTTTTCCTAGAAAAAGATCAATAATAGATGGTTCTTGCCTTTATATTACTATAAGCTACAGTATGAGTCCATGGAGAATTCTTTCAATTTACTTAAACCATTCCCAGTAAAAACTTGCACTCAACATCTCAGAAAAAGTATTCTCACTGTTGACAACTGTGCTGTCAAAGCACAACACAGTTTCACAATAATTGATCTAAAATGAGTTTCACAAATAATTTCTGGGTCTACTGCATGCATAAATGCCCATTTAGTAGTTCTTACTTATGTGAAGCCATTTTGACCAACTCAAAGGTCCTGCTTATCCAAATATAATCTTAAAGCACATAGTAAAAAGCATTGCCCATATTCTTGAACATAAATTTGACTCTATTCAATACCAACATAACTATAAATAACTGGAAAAATCAAAATAGAACATAATCATGGAAGTATAGAAAGTCTCAGTGGTTAACCTGCTACCTAATCTGTAAATATTTCTAAGCATGATTAAATAAATATGGTATTTTTACAATAAAGATGAAAATGCTACAACTCAGGAAAACAGGCAAAACTGAAAACTAACAATTTTTACTTAAAATGATTTCTGTTTTTATGCTAAAACTACTAGAAGCAAACTATAGAAGTATGCAAACAGAGACAAGAGAAGTTGAAGGGACCTTTTCAGGAGTCATACGTGACAATGCCAGATTCTTTTATGAGGTCTTCTTGAACCTAAACTTTTTTCCTTGATGAAGAAATATGTTATTATGTGGGCAAGGAATACAGCTTAGTATACAGTACCTGCATGGCATGAGCAAAGTCTTGAGCTGGATCCCCAGCACCACAGAAAAAAGCAAAATATATTAACACAAACCTAACATCTAAAAGTATAAGATCTAGTCTTGTTCACAAATAGAATGAAAGTGAGAGAACTCCACAGATCTCAGGGAAACTTGCAAAAGTAAAAATCTCTGGTAGGTCTTCCCTTCCTTCAAATCACAAATAAAAAGCTAAAGGGCACATCAAATTACAGTATCAGAATCCCACCACCCCTAAAAAAATCCCTGTGACTCCTATCAGGAGGAATCTCCATTTCCCTGAGCTGGAGTCTCTCTGTAGGAACAAATCTAGCCCTCTCTGCCCCACTTGTGTAAGTGAGAGAAAGAACTGCATGTACTCAGCTCAGCCTCTCCTGGGTTTTCTCTGAGAA